ACTCCCTGTTGGTGGGAGTGTAAATTAGTTCAACCATTGTGGAAGACAGTGTGGCAATTCCTCAAGGACCTAGAAATAGAAATTCCATTTGACCCAGCAATCCCATTACTGGGTATATATCCAAAGGATTATAAATCATTCTACTATAAGGACACATGCACACGAATGTTCATTGCAGCACAGTTTACAATAGCAAAGACCTGGAAGCAACCCAAATGCCCATCGATGATAGACTGGACAGGTAAAATGTGGCACATATACACCATGGAATACTATGCAGCCATCAAAAATGATGAGTTTGTGTCCTTTGTAGGGACATGGATGAACCTGGAAACCATCATTCTCAGCAAACTGACACAGGAGCAGAAAATCAAACACCACATGTTGTCACTCACAGGCGGGTGTTGAACAATGAGAACACATGGACACAGGGAGGGAAGCACTACACACTGGGGTCTGTTGGGGGGAAATACGGGAGGGACAGAAGGGGGTGGGGAGTTGGGAGGAAGATGGCATGGGGAGAAATGCCAGATATAGGTGAGGGGAGGAAGGCAGCAAATCACACTGTCACGTGTGTACCTATGCAATAATGTTGCATGTTCTTCACATGTACCCCAACACCTAAAATGCAATTAAAAAAAATTTAAAAATGTGATCTCAAAGGAGAGATATAAGAATTTAGTAAAGAAATGGTGCAGCTCAGGAAAAAAGTAGAGTGTTAAAAATACTCTGAAAGGGCCAAAAAAATGTTGAAAACGATGCATAGAAAATGAATACTGCTAAAAATGTGGTAAGGCGAATTAAGGACCAGACTGAGGTAAACTAGAAAGATTTCTGAAATTAGATAAAATATAAGCATAACTGATATCACTAAAGAAGAGATCCAAAATAATAGAAGAAAATACGTAAATAAATTTTAATAAAATGTTCCATGAACATAGATTCAAAAGCAGACTATGTCCCTAGAAAAATTAAGTCAATCAATAATGAGCTCTTTCCTTGTAAAGTTACTTAGTTTCAAAAATAAACAAAGAATCCTTTGGAAATCCAGAGAGGGAAAACGAGTTTCATTTGATCTATACAGGAGAAAAAAAAAAAAAAGTAGCTAACTCTAACCTTTTCCACAACAATGCTAGATGATAATGAAACAACGTCTGTAAAATCCTTATGAAAATATTATACCTCAAGAATATTATATGCAGCAAAACTTTAACTCAGTGTAACAGTTTTAATGTGAAAAAAATCAAGGAATATGATTCTTATGAGTCTCTCCTACATAAAGTCAAAGACAACAAACTTTAGCTCAACAAGATATGAATGGAGAAAGTCTGGCAATATGCACAGAATCTATTTAGATGAAGGGCTAAGACATGAAAGAAGTAGGGTTATTCTTACAGAATTGAATATAAATATTATACATCTTGAAAGTATAAAAATGATATAGCTAATAACAATTATAACAAAAATAAAAGATAAGGGGAAAGTTAATAAACACATTGATTTCATTTTTTAAACCTAGGTGTTATTAAAGCAAACAAGCACTATAAACACAACTGCATAAACATTTCACTAAGTAAAGTAACTAAATCAACTAAAATTGCATGAGGAGTGACAGAGAGGAGAAAATAGAAATGAACTAATTTCATCTTTGCTCATAGTTTGCAATCAACAGATTCTGTCTAAAGTTTTGAGGAATAAATTATTATAAGGAGTTATTATAATCCTAAACATCATTACAACAGGAATATAAAAATTTTTTTAAAGAAAAACACAAAAACAAAAACACCACATCACACACACTCAAAGTAAGGGGGAAAATACCAAATAATAAAATATTTAAAGATAACAACAACAACAAAAGCATATACAAAATATAGTGACAAAATCTGTTATGTAATAAATGACAATGGATTGAACTCACGTAGAAAGAGAAAGAAATATGGTAAATTACTAATAAAGTCCAGCAATATGCTACACAATAGAAGCGCTTATAAAACAAAGTATCTCAGAAAGGTTGCAAATAAACAGATGGAAAAAAGGTATACCAAAAAAATATAAACAACCACAAAGTAGGTGTTGGGATTTTAATGCAGACAAACTAGAATTTCAGGCTTTAAATTCAGCTCTACAGCAGTAAATTTTTTTTTTCAAAAATGCATCACGTTATTAGAAAGTTTATAATCCATTATGATGATAAAATAATTATGAAAATCTATGTGGTAAGAAGAATTCTCAGATGGCTCCCAATATTCTTGTCCCTCTAGTATCCGTGTCTTGTATCAATCCCCCCACCTGAAGCTGAAATATTAAGAAAGGAAGATTATGGGATGAAGCTCTGAATATGGTGGGAAATCATTATCATGATTATGTTATATAACATGGAAGAAGGAATTGTACAGCTATAATTAAGGTTACTAATCAGTTATCTTTGAGTCAAAGGAAGAGTATTTGAATGGTCTGACCTACTCACATGAGCCTTTTAAGTCTGGGTCTGGAGGTTGGAGACAGAAGTCAGAGATTGGTAGCGTGAGATGGCCTCTGGAACGGGTCACATGGCAAGATACTGCAGACAGCTTCTAGATGCTGAGTGTTACCCTCAGCCACAGCCTGAAAAAGAATAGAGTCTTCAATTTGACAGCCTCAATTGAATTTTGCCAAAAATCTAAGTGACCGTGAAAGAGAACTCTGAACCTTAAATGAGATAGCACTCCCAGGTGACATCTTGAGTCCAGCTAGCTGTGTGAGACCCTGAGCAGACTACACTAAACTGAGACTGAACCTTCTGACCTACAGACACTGAAATAATAAGTAGGTATTTGCAAGCTATTAAATTTGTGATAAATTGATGCATATAGATAATTAACACAATCCTCATACTATAATATACCATAGTACCATCCAAATTTATAGAGCAAAACAAAACTATAGGAAAGTTTCTGGTTTACGTACTAATACATGATACTTTTTTGCAGCATTAGTAATGGAAGACTTTAATTCATCTGTCAACATGTCAACAAAGAATCCAAAAACAGGTAAGGCTTTAAGGACATAATAGATAGCAACAGGAGGAGGTATTTTTGTGTCTATGTGTTTGTATGAGTGACAGATGACAGAGAGAATCCTGGACATCATTCTGTCTCCGTGATAAAAAAGAATGTACCTTTTTTCCCCCTAATACCTGTAGAACATTCACAAAAGTAACCATATGTTAGGCTAGAAATTTCTGTATAAATTCCCAAAAGTAGAAATAGAAGACATATTCCGATTACAAAGCAAAAAATTAGAAACTAACAATGAATTCATAAAACAAATGAAAAACAACCTACCACTTGTCAAGTAAATTTTCTATTTTAAACAACGCATGGATCAAAGAAAAAATTAATAAGTAATTACAGAGTATTGATAATACTACATATCAAACCCTATAGTATACAACCAAAGGAGTCACAGAGAAAAATTCATAGCCTTTAATACTTAGAAAAATAAACCAGAAAAGAATGAGAATATAATGAAATCAAGTATCCAAAGCAATAAGTTATAAAAATAAAACAAAATAAATCTAAGGAAGGCAGAAAGAAAACGACACATATAAAGATGAAGTTGAATGTTTAAATTCAGGAAGAGAAAAATAGTAGGACTAATAAATAAATTCAAAATCTTGTATTTTGTTCATAATGAAACAGGCACTCTAATATTTTCCCCAAATCTATATTCCTGTTCCAATTATGTGAAAAACAATCATATAAATCCAAATTGAGGTACATTTTACAAAATACCTAACCAGTGCTCTTCAAAACTGTCAAGGTCATAAACAAAGAAAGATTGCTAAACTGTTAAGAGACCAGAGGAAACCATGGAGATATGCTGACTAAATGCAACATGGAATTCTGGGCCAGGTCCCAGAACAAGAAGAGTGTATTAGGGGAAAAATAGGTGAAATCCAAATAAACTCTGAATTTTAGTTAATGTAATTGTACTAATGTTAATTTCTTAGTTTTGAAAAAAATGTGCTATGATTATGTAAGATGTTAGTTAACATTGGGGGGAGCTGATTGAAGGATATATGAGAATTTACTGTCTTTGCAACTTCCCTATAGATCTGAAATATTCCAAAGTAAAAAGTTTATTATTAAAAAAAAAACAAAGAATATGTAGAAAATCTAAATACAAGAATTAAAAAGAAAACACAAAATAATTATCAAAGGGCTACCTCCTCCAAACAAGCAAAGAAAAACATAAGAGGCTCTAAAAATTTAATAAGGCAATTTATCAATCATTTCAGTAACTGATAACTCAACTTCTAATTAAATTATTTTGACAACATTGAAAAATTTAAAAGCCCCTCATACTCTTTCCCATGAAGTTATAATTCAAACAAAATTATATTTTCCTTTCTGATTTTAGTATACACATTTATTTCTATTTTTAAATTTTTAAATGATATTTGATGATACTTCCAGAAATGGTAAATGATGGTGGTAGTATTGATAATCTTTGTTGTATTCTATACCTTAATAAGAATGCTTCTAAGTATTTTTTTAATTTCACCTGTTACTGACCTTTTTAACTACCACATTAAGATATGAAGTACATATCCATTGTATTTTAAAATGTTATCAAGTTCATATTTAAAATCTTACGAATTTTGAACTCAAAAATTATTGTGTAGGGTTTCTTCTTTAGCGATTATAGATTGTCTTTTATTGAACCACCCTCTGTGTAATAAATACTACTTGGGTATAGTGTTTTAATCTTTTAATGTGCTGCCATAGTCTGCCTGCTAATCTTTTTGTTAAGTGTTGTCCAGTAATAGTCACAGTAAATTTATCTATAGTTTTAGTGCATGTGTGCATGCCCTTGTTGAGTTTGACATCAAGGTCATAGTAGCTTCAGGTTTGGAAATAAGGTCCCATTAAGATGATAAGAGGCTATGCTCATTCCCTTTTAACTAGTCTCCTTCTTTCTGGCTAGTGACTAATCTCCAGATTCTGCAATATGGCATGAAATGGCATCACATGGTAAGTGATATTCTATAAAGATGTCAACGTAACTAACATCTCTTGGAAAAAATAAACTTTTTACTGTCTCCATTATGAGGATGTTACAAGTAATGTTTAACGTATGTGTGTGGAGTAGAAAGGGGGGAAAAAGGCAATTTGGTTAAAAAGTGTTTTTACCTTTTAGGTCCCTGCACCGTAATTTCTTCCTCACTTTCTCATGCTCCTGGAATTGACCTTCAGTACTAATTCAAAAGGATGAAACATTTTACCCATCCTACTATTTATCCCACCCACCCTCCATCAACTGACTGGTCTCTAGGATAGTCTCCTCACTCATATTTTCCCTTCCAATATCACTGTGGAAACTCTTTCCACCAAATTGAAGCCCTTTCTACATAGCCTCTGATTGAATGATATTATTTCCTTATTTGAGAACCATTCTAAGTTTGCATTTTTCCTTTTCCATTTATCTTATTGTTTTCCAGGCCTTTGGCAGATTTCTTGTCTTTGATCTCTTTAGAGCAGAGATTGTGATTATTCATCTTTGTCTTCTCTGCAGTGTGTAGCAGAATGTTGTCTTGGTGGATATTCATCCAGTGGTTTTTCAAAATTGTATTAAAATTATGAACCTCTAATAGACTCTACCATTAATTTACATCCAAATTAACACAGAAGAAATAGTGAAGGATTATCATAAGAAAATATGTAATCTTCTCTCTTTAGAAAAGAAATGCTTCAGTGTGGATATTAAAACTTTTCTAGACTGTTTCTTCATAATCCATAGGTCAAAATCACTGATAATTAAAGCAAAACATTGATAATGTTTAGTGGACAAACTGATTTTTCCAGTCAGGACATAAGGAGAGTCATTAATAAAACCATGTTCTATTAAACAGGGTCTTTTAATCCTTTCCCATTTGCATAGTCCAAAGAGTCAGACAGATGCAGTTTAGAATTTCACTCATTCAATAGCTCATTCATTTATTCAACAAATATTTATTGAGAATCTGCTATGCATTAAATATTATGCTATCCTTTTGAGAAACAAAGTAGAATAAAATCCAAACACTAGCCCCAAATTGCTTATAATCCAATGGGAGAGATTTTTTAAATTCAGCAGTTAGAAACTGCTATAAGTTATGAAGAAGTTACAATATTCAGAAAAAGACGGAAGTACATTTGAAGGCACATTCAAATGTGACTTTGGGGCAGAGAAGATTTGAGCTGAACTTTGAAGCATGAGTAGAATGCCTAGATGAAGGTGTAGTATATTCCAGGAAGAGGAAACAGCACCTGTAAAGTCATGGAGAAAGAAAAAGCAACATACATTTGTAGAATTATAGATTTTAACTATGGTTTTCCAGGAAGCACACTGTAAAATAACAGTGGATGTGCTCTTTGGATCAACACTTGGATTAATAGTGGAGGCAAAGTCTAAGAAGCAGAATTGGGTACAAGGAGGCGCTGAACTGCAATACACTTGCAAAACAGGGTACCAGCTACTTCTGCAGGGTGCTCTGTAACTGGGCCTTTCATCCCAACTGACCCTCTTTGAGGCAAGGAGGCTTGGTCTTTATTTCCCCATGTCAACTAATCATTAAATGTAGTTTGCCCCCAGAGAGGGGATATGATCTTAGGTAGGGAGGCTCTTTGGCTAAGGGAATTCTCAAGAACACTTATCTAAGAGCTCTCAGCTGCCAACACTTCCACAAGCTGAGGAAAGAGTATTTCAATATTGAAATGGAGAGGGGTGGTCTAAACAAAACCCCGCAGCATCCATCTAAGACAAAAAGTGTATCTAGAATGAAGACTAGCCAAGAGGAAATGATAGGAGTTGTGGCTAGAGAGGTAAGTACAGATTTAGTGAAGAAAGTTCCTTAAAGCTTTGCTAAAAAGTTCAAAACAGTGTGGACTTATTTAATCAGGAGAGAGTGGGGTCGCTCCAGCAAAATTATAGACGAAACACAAAGAAACTCATTATAAGTAACAACAGACATCTGAGTTGAAGGGTATAATTGAGGGCTGATGGCTGTTGGGAACCCCTGCACATGGGTCCAGTGCGCTTGTGTTTCAAAAGTCAAAAACAACAACAAAAACAAAACACAGCACAGTGGGGATCTTCCAGAACATGTAGCTGGGCCTTGAAAGTGACACTGCCCTAGTGGATTGAGTTCAGCAGGGCTGTTGGAGGCACCACCTGCAGGGTCAGAATGAATCACAAACAGGAAGGTGACAAATTATTTCATGGATGAACCAAAAAGTAAAAATATTTCCCTTAATTTGTCAGCCACCCACAACTCCACAGATACAAGGACAGGGAACATGGGGAAGGGTACAGAGTACAGAGAGGTGTGAGATAGGGAAATCCCTTCCCCATTCCAATGATAGTAAAAATAGCTAAAATTTATCTAGTACCTATAACATGTTAGGCGTGCTCTAAGTGCTTTAAATGAATAACTCATTTAATCCCCACAGCAGTCCTATGGGGTAAGTACTATCTTGAAAATGGGGAAACAGAGGTAGAAAGTGACCTGCTCATGGTCACATAGCTAGCAAGTGGCAGAGCCAGGCTATAAACTCGATCCTGGCTGCAGAGTTGCTAGTCTAAGCACCAAGTTATACTGTGTTTACCCTAAAACCAAAGTCCTTGCCTGCTCTAGGGATCAAGAAAGACTTTTGAACAAACAATAACATTGAAGATTTTAAATAAACAGGATTCAGTATTAACAATAATGATGACACAGTATTAACAACCAAAGGAGATGGAGAATTTATGAAATCAAACTTAGAACAGCCCATAAAGGAGACAGCCATCTATCAGAGAAAGATAGGACAAGGAAGTTGGCTGAGAAGAGGGACAGAGCACAGTGGCAACAGTTATAGGAAAGCATAGAACCAGTCATATATACATACACATACGTATATATATATATATATATATACACATATATATATATATGTTGTATATATATATACACACACACACACACACACACACACACACACACACATATCTTAGAGGCTGAAACTGCTCATTCAAAAAAGTGTCATTAACATTCCTATATCGCATATCCTATTACTAGGAAGATGCACAGGAAAGCAGTAACAACCGCAGACTCTAGGGATGGAAATTAGGGGACAGGAGCCAGAGAAGGGGAAGACTTGAAGACATTGTTTACTGTTTACACTTTTGCACTGTACTGCACATGCATGTGTATTACCTTTTTACATGTTCAAATAAATACATAAGGTATACTATTTTAAAAGTCCAAAGACATGCTTCTATGAATAATCTGTTTTATTGCCAGATCAAACTGTATCTATATTTTGATGTAGTCTATATCTATATTTATAATCTGTCTTTTGCTCTGTAAAGGGGCTATCTACTATGCATGTTTGTAAATGTCCTTCACCCTTAAATCCTCCATTTTGTCTTAATTTTTATTCTTTAGTTTCTTTTAGCCTTTATTTTTATATCATTGAATTGTTTTTTTGTCTCTAAGCCACTGAAAATTCCCCTTTTTTCCCTAGTATGGGAGGGGAGTCCTAATGAATAAATTGAAAGATATCTTCCTATGTGGATTTGAAGGAATTTTAAAATAGAGACTTGCCATCAGTTAGAGATGACCACGCAAAATTTTGATACAGTTGGGTATATACACTGTTACAGAAGAAGAATAGTACAAACACAATTATTGCCAATAGAGTGATAAGGAGTTCTGTTGAAAATATAAAGTGCACAGAAAATTTAGAAAGTGCAAAGAGTTAATTGATGGCATTCCAATTACAGAAACAAATTAACTCCATCAATTTGTCTCTACAAGAATAACAGGACTTCGGGAACCAGCTCCTAAGCATGCATAGTAAGACTGTGGTTCTAAGAAAGCAAAGACTGGACTACCATGCCAGGTCTTAATTTGTTTTTCAGCAACAGAGTCTACATTTCTCTTAGCTGTGGAAAAGGTCAACTTCAGAAACCCAATTATATTCAAAAGAATGACACAGACTTAGGTTGGAAATAGGAGATGCAAGCAGAGAAAAGGAGATAGTCAAATGGCTCACTAGAAACAAAGCATAAACTTGATGTAGAGGTCAGAATTTGAGTTTAAACTGAGTTCTTGCTAGCATTGAGGCATGTCTGGGCCACTCAAGATAAGGTAGGACTGGCAGGATGGAAGAGCCTGCAGGGAAAGACACCTTCTAGATGAAGATTATCAAGGTGTATGAATATGATTCAAAGACGGTGGGCTAGTATGAGAGGTTGATGAGTGATTCTCACTATATTAATAGCACGGTCTAGCTGCTAACTCCTATAAAGACAGGGCTGTTGTAAAAGAGAACAAAACAATGACCATCTGAAAATGATGAGGGTGAATTCAGTCACCTGTGACTTTAGCTATAAAGGGAAAGCACCTTTTGTGCAGAATCTAGTTCTTTTGATAATGGGTTACAGTAGCCATGGGACTGTAATCAATAAGCACTAGCAACAGGATCAAAGCTTTCAAGAGATGGCAGAGGCAGCAGCACCTTTTGACTTCAGCAAGGATAGGCAATGTCAGCACATCAACTTATAGCAGTAAAGGAGGTATCAGACAAATCTTCAACTACTACAGATAGCTCAGATGTATAACACAAAACATTTTTTAATCTACCCAATTATTTCTGTTTTTCAAAAATATATTGGCTACTTTTAATTATTTACACTTTCAGAGGAACTTTGGAATATACTTGTCAAATTCCATAAGAATTTCTCTTGGCATTTTGATTTAAAACACGGATTTTGTAGATTAATTTATGAATACTTCCTTAAACCATTGTCTTGTCATCAGAAACATGTTTTATTCCTTGGTACTTACTTGAATATTTAGTAAAGATTTTTCTTTACTAAAGTGTGTAAAATGTATGATATGGAAATATATTCTCTCAGTATATGGTTTGTCTTATTTTTCTTAATGGTGTCCTTTGAAGAGCAAAAGGTTTAGTTTTGATCAAGTCCAATTTATCATTTTTTTTCTCTTTTGTGGGCCATGGTTTTAGCGTTGCATCTAAAAAAAAAAACTTTTCTAACCAAAAATGGCCAATATTTCAATATTTTATCCTCTAAAGGTTTTATAGTTTTAGCTCTTACAATTTTATGTAGATGCAAGGTAAAGTATAAATTCATCTTATTACATTAACATTTATTGTCTCATTCTTATGTTTGTAACATAAAGTCTTATAGCATTGGCCCACAAGTTTCTAACTTTCAGAGCTTAAGGAGATTTTCTTCATGAAGTGGAAATATGATTAATTTCAAATGCTTTTATAGTCTTACAAAAAATCACATCCTCTCATTTTTAAAAGCCATGCAATGTAGATTAGAAAAAGAAAGAAAAGAGAAAGAAGAAAAGAAAGAAAGAACCACCATGTAAAGAGTCATCACCAATTACTATTTCAACCATTTCTTTAGGCCACAAGTCATTTTCTCTTAAAAAACAAAACAAAACAAAACAAAACAAAAAAACCAGAAAGCATAACTCATTTTATGGCATCCATTATGACTGAAGAAAAACACGATGGGGTCCGATTCTCTAGCCTTTGTCACCTGGATTCTTTCCCTAGAAGCCTTTAATATTTATCTTTATTTTTGGTAAACTGGAATTTTATAAAAATGTGTCTAGGTATATCTTTAAAATTCAAATATACTGGGCACTCACACATGTTTTCAATCTAAAGATTCCAGCTACTTATCTCTGAGAAATTATACTGCACTATTGACTGGATAATTTTTCTCTTCATGTTTTCTCCAGTCTTTCCTTATGAGACTCCTATTAGCTATATATTGAATTGTAAATTCTTAAGAAATTTTATGATTTGATGGCTTTAAATTTTGGAACTCTTCAATATCTGATACTATATTTTCTGTATCAATTCATCTATCAAAAGACACTTAGGTTGATTCCGTATCTTGACTATTGTGAATATGCTGCAATGAACATGGGAGTAAAGATGTCTCTTTGATATCCTGTTTTTATTTTCTTTTGATAAATATCCATACATGGGTTGTACCAATTTACATTCATGCCAAAAGTTTACATGCATCCAAGGGTTTTCTTTTTTCTATACTTTCACCAACACTTACTATCTTTCATTGTTTTGATAATACTTACCCTAACAAGTGTGAGGTAATGTCTCACTGTGGTTTTAATTTGCATTTCCTTGATGATATTATTATAATATTGAGCATTTTTTTTCACATACCTATTCACCATTTGTATGTCTTTTTTTTCCCATAAGTTATTGGGGTACAGGTGGTATTTGGTTACATGAGTACATTCTTTAGTGGTGATTTGTGAGACTTTGGTGCACCCATCACCCAAGCAGTATACATTGCACCATATTTGTAGTCTTTTATCCCTTGCCCCCTCCCACTCTTTCCCCCAAGTTTCCAAAGTCCATTGTATCATTCTTATGCTTTTGTGTCCTCATAGCTTAGCTCCCACATATCACTGAGAATATACAATGTTCGGGTTTCCACTCCTGAGTTACTTCACTTAGAATAATAGTTTCCAGTCTCATCCAGGTCACTGCAAATGCTGTTAATTCATTCCTTTTTATGGCCGAGTAGTATTCCATCATATATATACCAAAATTTCTTTATCCACTCTTTGATTGATTGGCATTTGGGTTGGTTCCACGATTTTGCAATTGTAAATTATGCTGCTATAAACATATGTACGCAAGTTTCATTTTCAAATAATGACTTCTTTTCCTCTGGGTAGATACTTAGTGGTGGGGATTGCTGTATCAAATGGCAGTTCTACCTTTAGTTCTGTAAGGAATCTCCACACTGTTTTCCTTAGTGATTGTACTAGTTTACATTCCCTGACTACCACATCCATGCCAACATCTACTGTTTTTTTTTTTTTTTTTGTTGTTGTTGTTGTTGTTGTTGTTGTTGTTTATTATGGTCATTCTTGCAGAAGTAGGGTGGTATCTCATTGTAGTTTTGATTTGCAATTCCCTAATCATTAGTGATTTTGAACATTTTTTTCATGTTTGTTGGCCATTTGTATATCTTCTTTTGAAAACTGTCTATTCATGTCTTTAGCATACTTTCTGATGGGATTTTTTTCTTACTGATTTGAGTTTGTTGCAGATTCTGCATATTAATCCTTTATCACGTGTATAGATTGTGAAGATTTTCTCCCACTCTTTGGATTGTCTGTTTACTCTGCTGACTGTTTCTTTTGCCGTGCAAAAGCTCTTTAGTTTAATTAAGTCCCAACTACTTATCTTTGTTTATATTGCATTTGCTTTTAGGTTCCGCTCATGAAATCCTTGCCTAAGCCAATATCTAGAAGGATTCTTTCAATGTTATCTTTTAGAATTTTTATAGTTTCAGGTCTTAGCTTTAATTCCTTAATCCATCTTGTGTTGATTTTTGTTCATATAAGGTAAGAGACGAAGATCCAGTTTCATTATCCTACCTGTGGCTAGCCAGTTATCCCAGCACCATTTGTTGAAAAGAGTATCCTTTCCCCACTCTGTTTTTGTTTGCTTTGTCGAAGATCAGTTGGCTGTTAAGTATTTGGGTTTGTTTCTGGGTTCTCTATTCTGTTCCATTGGTCTATGTGCCCATTTTTATGCCAGCATCATGCTGTTTTAGTGACTATGGCCTTGTAGTATAGTTTGAAAGCAGGTAGTGGGATGCCTCCAGATCTGTTGTTTTTGCTTAGTCTTGCTTTGGGTATGTGGGTTCTTTTTTGGTTCCATATGAATTTTAGACTTTTTTTTTCTAATTCGGTGAAGAATGACAGTGGTATTTTTATGGCTCTTGCATTGAATTTGTTTACTGATTTTGGCAGTATGGTGATTTTCACAATATTGATTCTACCCATCCATAAGCATGGGATGTGTTTCCATTTGTTTGTGTCATCTATGATTTATTTCAGCAGTGTTTTGTAGTTCTCCTTGCAAAGGTCTTTTAACTCCTTGGTTAGGTATATTCCTAAGTTTGTTTGTTTGTTGTTGTTGTCGTTGTTTTTCAGCTATTATAAAATGGGTTGAGTTCTTGATTTGATTCTCCACTTGGTCGTCGTTAGTGTGTGGAAGAGCTGCTGATTTGTGTTCATAATTCCAGTACCTGGAAATTTTGGCAAATTCTTTTATCAGTTTTAGAAGCTTTCTGGAGGAGTCTTTAGGGTTTTCAAGGTAAACAATCATATTGTCAGCAAACGGAGACAGATTGACTTCTTCTTTGCTAATTTAGATGCCCTTTATCTCTTTCTCTTGTCTGATTGCTCTGGCTAGGATTTACAGTACTATGTTGAAGAGGAGTGGTAAGAGTGGGTGTACTTGTCTTGTCCTAGTTCTCAAGGGACTGCTTTCTGTGTGTCTTCTTTGGAAAATATTTTATTCAAGTCTTTTGCCGATTTGTATTTGGGTTACCTGATTTATTTTTATTTATTATTTATTTATTTATTTATTTATTGCTATTGAATTGCATGAGTTACATTTTGGATACATTTTGGATATTAACCCCTTATCAGATTCATGTTTTACAAATATTTTATCCCATTCCATAGTTGCATTTTTAAAATTTTGTTAATTGTTCTCTTTGCTGTGCAGAAGCTTGAAGTTTGATGTAGTCCCACTTGTTTACTTTTGCTTTTGTTGCCTGTGCTTTTTATGTCATAGCCAAAAAATCTTTGCCCAAACCAATGTAAAGAAACTCTTTCCCTACGTTTTCTTCTAGGAGTTTTACAGCTTCACATCTTTCCATTTGTCTTTAATCCATCTCAAATCAACTTTTGTATATGGCATAAAGGTCCCATTTCATTTATTTGTTTGTGGATATTCAGTTTTCCCAGCACCATTTATTGAAGAGACTATCCTTTACCCACTGGAAACTCTTGGCTCCCTTATCAAAGATTAGTTGACCATATATTAATGAGTTTATTTCTGGGCTTTCTATTTCATTAGATTTGAGTCTGTTTTTATAGAAATTCACACAATTTTAATTACCTAATTTTATATGATAGCTTGAAATCATAACTGTGATACCTCCATGTTCTTTCTCAAGATTGTTTTGGCTATTGAAGGTCTAGTTCTCCAGTTTCTTGTAAACAAGAATAATACATTTTTAGTGGAATCCCTTTAATTACCACTTTAAAGATTAAATGGTTGTATTCAACAGCTGCACATTGTCCTGTAGTGGTTCTTATTCTATGGTGTAAGTTTAGCCATTTTTTTTTTTTTCTAATAAGACCTTATTTAAATCACCCAGCTGGCATTTTTACAGGCAATCTCCACACTGAGTAGATGGGTCTTAACAGTTATATTTGTGTATAGAAGTGCATCTGGTAAAGAGCACACCTAACAAAATGCTGTCTGGAAATGCAAATTATATAAGCATAGTGGTTGACTGTAAAAGACCTCCACTTAGGCAAACATACTATTGTAGATTTAAATTTACAATTTGGTCTCAACACTTCTAAGAACTCTTCAGTGTGTTTTCCAGTCCGATTTGGTTCCTTTAATCTCTGTAAAAGGGCGAAGTACACATGCTATTATGAGTCTCACTGCTCTGTAATCATTAATTCTTCTCCTTTTTTTTTTTTTAAATGGGGTACTTAGGAACATGAAGCTAGAAGCCTATTGGATGTATACTCAGGGCTGTTAAGTAATCAATCCGTGATCCTGGCCATGAACTCCAGGTATGATAAGCTATTATGCTCTCTTATTGCACTAACTGGATGTATTTAAAATGTTATATCTTTAAAAACATACAATTATGAAAAATAAGAAATTACTCCAAATTCCACCATCATAATTTGGCAACTATTATTTCTTTCTCATACTCTTTCTCAGTCTTTCTCTATTGCATAGACATGCAGATAATCTTTCCAGCTTTTGAGGCAAGCTTCATTTGCCATCAATTTGAAGATGCATCTCAATGTAAGAAATACTAAGATGTAAAAAATATATTATCAATCATTACAGAAACTGTGGCAGTAATATAGTTCAGTTGTTTAAGCTTAGCATGGCTTTGTGAAATTGGCTGGGAATGTAACTACTCTTTGCATTATTATGATTATGGAGAAATGTATTCTGATTTCTAAATAACTACAGATAATATTTACAAAGAAATTAATTCCTTTATATTTAAAACATTATCATTTTTAAGAGAATATTTAAGACTCATCTGTCATATAAAGCCAAAAGCTGAACCTCATTTTTGCTTATCACTAAGAAATAGACACTAAATTTTGATTACATTTGGTCTCTCATCATTAATAATTACGCCTTTTTTCTTGTCAGCTTTGTGGACCCCTTACGGCAGTTTGAATCTCAGTTGAAGAAAATACAATCATCCTTTAGAATGCTAGTTGCCATGCCAAGTCTTGACAAAGTAAAAGAAATGGGGAGCAGCAATGAGGACATTGAGGACCTGGAGGTAAAATTTTTCTTCCTTTAATCAATACAGGACATTATTACACATCACAGCAATCCTGCAGAATATGTCTCAGCCCGTTATAATCTTTATAGTCCTCCTCTTCACTCTTTTTAGTTATAATAGTCAGTGCACTAATCTATACCCCTGGACCATGTGAATTCTACAACCCATGGGATTTTAATGGATTCTATAGGATTTACAGAAGCAAATGGATAAAGATATTTTTGGTTAATTGGCTTAGCAAGAATAGGGAGTTTGCTGGCAAGTCCCTCAAAGAACGGAAAAGGAAAAAAGAAAAATGGAAGTAGGAAGAATCCTATAGTAAGATTAGCAAACATCTGTGGTCTCCATTTCTTTACCATGAATTCTAGCTATACAGTGAATTTGCTCTAAAAGCTAGAGAAGAAATTCATGGCATATGGTATAGGGTGAGGTCTCAGCATAGCCACCTCTCTCCTTTCTTCAGTTTGTGGAGAGAACTTAGAACACTCAGATGCAAAACTATTAGGCTAATTATTTCTTTTTATAAGAGCTTCTATATAAATCTCAGAGAATTATAGTCTTTTCTGCAATTGATGCAAGGTGACTTTAATGAAGAAACTTTCTCAGCTATATTCCTATATCCCTAACACAAATTTGTAGACTGCTAATTTTCCCAAATGTGCAATTCTTTTCCAACTTGACCTCTTCCAAATATTCCTAAGCAGCTACCTAAGAATACCCAGTGATACTTTTACTTTTTACTGCTGAAGACCACTCTGGTAGTTGAGAGAAGAAAAATAATTTCTGAGTTAAATAAAACCCTTCTTCCAATACTAGAAAGAAAAAAAATGTGTTGTTATATAACATTTCAACATCCAAATGCCCCATGTTTACTAATGTTACATATATTTTATATATCAGTTACTCACACATGGAAATTTCCAATGCCCACATAGAATACAATTTCCAGTACCTACATAATGTGTGGAACAATAAATCTTACTGTTTCCATCTATTTAGATATAAAATGTATTCAATATTTTCTTATTATTATTTGAGACAGAGTCTTTCTCTGTCACCCAGGCTAGAGTGCAATGGCACTATCTTAGCTCACTGCAGTCTCCATCTCCTGAGCTCAAGCAATTCTTCCACCTCAGCCTTTCAAGTAGCTAGGACTACAGACATGCACCACCATGCTTCACTAATTTTGTTTATTTTTCATAGAAATGAGGTCTCACTATGTTGCCCAAGCTGGTCTCAAACTCCTGAACTCTAGTAATCCTCCCACCTTGGCCTCTCAAATTGCTGGGATTATAGGTGTGAGCCACTGTGCCTGGTCTGACTTATATTTAAATATGATGTCTGGGTAACTTATAGTTGTCAGCTAAAACAAGAACCAAGTCACATCATGCTTAAGTCTTCTATTTAAAATCACAAAGGCCAAAAGTCTATTTTTTTATAGAAATATAGTAATTAACAGCACTTAAAATAGCAATTACTGTCCACTTCTATCAGAACTATTCAGGCAGCTATTCACAAATTACTGCTTTCAATAAACTTAAAGCAACAGTTAGAATAAAATATATTCATGTTATTACATTTTAAAAGACAATGGAAAATTGAAAAGTATATGTACAAGAATATCTCAAAGCATGCTGTAGAAAGATAATCTATAAACAGCGAAAGCAAGAGAAAACGTAAAATTTTAAAGGTGAGAATTTTTCTAAATGTTCATCATTAAAATAGGAAATAAAACTTTGTATAACTAGGGGGAAATCTATTAGCCAAGCCTATGTTCTTTTTGAAACTGAACTTAAAATCATGCATCCAATAAAAATAAATCCAACATACTGAGTTCTCAAGCAAAATCACATTTAAGCACAAACAATATTGAGAAAATACTCATAAGCACAGAAAAGCAAATTTTTATAAAATTAAATTTTAGCTTTTCCTCCTATAAACATGGTAGATGCTTATTACAAAAAAATTAAAGATTATAGAACACCACTAAATAAGAAATACCCATTGTCTTTTTACTTTGTGTATTTTTAAATATCTGAGATAATGCTAAAATTCTTTAAATGTTTGTGGCATTTTACAATTTGATGTTAAGTATTTTCTGTGTCACTCACTGATTTTCAAGGAATTGAAACCCAATTAAAAGCAACTTTTACGTAAGAAAAAAACTATAGACATTAGGTAAAGTTTTATCTAAGGCTGCTGACTGTGCAATGTCTCTGTGTTTCAGAATTTATACCAAAATATTTTAAATATATTTGAGTACAGTCTTCTGAACTTAGTATCTACAGACTTCTACAAACTACAGATCTTAAAGGTAAAGAGGAAATAAGTAGTTTTATTTTCTTGTCATAAAGCTAGTATACTTACTATGCTTCACTATTTTATCATTTGCTATATTTGCATCTCCTTCAAGTATTTGACAGCTGAAAGTTTTTCTTTATCACCAAAGAGTGAAATGAAGTCACTTCCCTTCATTTGAATTACAGAGGCACACTTTTAGGAATTTAATTTGGGGAGGACAGCATCAACAGGTACTTGAGAAACCAGGTCTCATACGGTGATACATGGGTGAACACAATATGAAGTAGCAGAGAATAGCATTATAGAGTACTATTAGCCTAAACTACCCTCAAGTTCACATAACAGTGAAACTATGCTGTGTAACTGTATGCATCCTTCTTCCTCATCAACTCAGGTGCTAAGAAAATGCTGAAATTCTATTTTCATGGATAGTACTGTATCTAAAGAAGACCTAACAACAATTCAAAACCCTATTTTTCACAACTGAGACCTCACTGCATTTTTTAATGTCCCAACCACAGACAGATGTTCTTCACATATATAGTCCCCACTAGAGACCAAGACTGCACCGCATGTCTTATGGTCCTCAATTTTGCATTCCTAACATGTTGGCATCAGAGGCCAACTGTCTGGAAGTACTGGCAAAACAGATTGATTTATCCTACCAGGTGCATCTATGAGTTGTACAAATCATAAATACAAGTAAAAAAAAAACTGTATTGGTATTTATGAAGGCAAAAATGAATGTGAAGAAAAATAAAATGTATTGGGCTCATTTGTGCCTAATTTGAGCCAACTTGTTTTGTGCATTTAAAAAATGTTATCCATTGGCTAGCCATATGCAGAAGATTGATATTGGACCCCTTCCTTATACCATATACAAAAATTAACTCAAGATAGATTAAAGACTTAAATGTAAAACCCAAAACTATAAAAATCCTGGAAGACAGCCTAGGCAATACCATTCTGGACATAGGAATGGGCAAAATTTCATGAAAAAGATACCAAAAGCAATTGCAACAAAAGCAAAAATTGGCAAATAATATCTAATTAAACTGAAGGACTTCTGCACGGTGAAAGAAACTATCAAGAGAGTAAACAGACAATGTACAGAATGGGAGAAACACTTTGCAAACCATGCATCTAACAAAGGTCTAATATTCAGTATCTATAAGGAACTTTAATTTACAAGAAAAAAGCATCCCCATTACAAAGCGTACAAAGGACATGAACAGATATTTTTCAAAAGAAGACATACATGTGGCCAACAAGCCTATGAAAAAAAGCTCAACATCACTGATCATTTAAGAAATGCAAATCAAAACCACAATGAGATACCAACTAACAACAGTCAGAATGGCTATCATTAAAAAGTCAAAAAAACAATAGAGGCTGGTGGGGTCATAGAGAGAGAAGAAGAAATGCTTATACACTGTTGGTAGTGTAAATTAGTGCAACCATTGTACAAAACAGCATGGTGATTCCTCAAAGACCTAAAAACAGAAATACCATTTGACCCAGCAATTCCATTACCGAGTATAACGTATCCAGAGGAATATAAAATGTTCTATCATAAAGACACATGTACCCATATACTTGTTGCAGTATTACTCACAATAGCAAAGACATGGAATCAAGCTAAATAGCCACCAATGGTAGACTGGATAAAAATCCTGTAGCACGCATACACCATGTGATACTATGCAGCCATACAAAGAATAAGACTCTGTACTTTGCAGGAATTTGGATGGAACTGGAATCCATTATCCTTAGCAAACTAATAGAAGAACAGAAAATCAAATGCTGCATGTTCTTGCTTATTAGGGGGGGCTAAGTGATGAGAAAACATGGACACATATTGGGGAACAATAGATACTGGGGCCTAACAAAGGGTGGAGATTTGGAGGAGAGAGAGAATCAGGAAAAATAACTAATGGTACTAGGCTTAATACCATGAGTTTATCTATATAAAAACGTGCACATGTATGCCTGAACTTAATTAAAAGTTAAAAAAAAAGTTGTTATCTTCAAAACCCTTCACCATGATTATAAATCCTCCTCTTCCCCACCCATGCATGCTTTTTCATTCACCCCATGCCACTATCAGTAGCTTCCATTTATTGAATTAAGCACTGACTCCGTATCAGGCACTAAACTGAATATGTGGGGTTTCTCATTTAATCCTTAAAATAATCCGTTGAGGGGATTACTATTATTTCTTTCATTTTGCAGATAAAAAAATAAAAACAGAGAAAGGAGCAATAATATGTATAATGCTAATGTGTGGAGAAGCCCCTCTAACTTGGAAGCCTGTTACTTAACCACTTTGTTAATACCTACCATGCCTAAAAGCTCCCCTCATTCTCAGAAAGGGCTGAACCTCACTCCTGAAAAGGACAAGGCAGAGGTTGACCCTTCTAAGATTTAGAAACTCTTTCACCTTAGGAAACAGACATCAGTTTTTACAATGGGAGTAAGAGAAGGTGAAGAGGTTTGGCCAACCATTGACATAAATACAGCAGACCCTGACAGACTGCCTTAAAAAAGACTATTAATGGCGATTGGCATATGAGGCATATGCAGTATTCTTCCCCATTCAAGGGTGTAAGTGTGTCCCTGCCTCTGAGGATTAAGAACAACTAGAAGGTACAGCAAGACAGATTTGAATTAAAATGTGCAAGAACTTTCTCACCAATCTACCTCCAGTAATGTACTCTCTAAGTATGAGCCAGAATATTTGAGGGGTGAATTAGCAGCGGAATTCTGGAATAAGATGATACTGCAGATTCAGACAAGATTTTAAGTCTCTCTTAAAGCTGAAAGGCAGCTTGTCATTTAAAAATAAAAGGCAGAATACATACTTTGAAAGAAAAAGAGGAGGCAAAGCAGCTGATTATCGTATCATAGCTTCATGTTGAACTTTTCATGGTGCCTAACGCAGTGAGTATTATAGTGGATATTAGTAACTATTTTTAATATAATAAAATAAAATAAAACCTAGATACAGTTGCTATAGTAGATGAAGTAGTATGTTAGATGCTTATTGTCCGTGTTTTTGAGATAAATGTAGGTTCAGTGTGAAGTAATCAGGAGACTGTAGGAATGCCTGAATTGGTGAAGTTGGAGAATAGAGGAAAGGTTCTTGGAAAATGAAAAGTTCATGGTTCTAGGGTGACTTTTGTGTTTCCAACAGGAAATGCTCGTGTGGATGAGTGAAGATAGCTCATACCTGCAAGGCAGAATAATGATGATCATCAATAGGGTGTTAAGATTTGCAGCCTGGAAAGCCAGAGGACATGTAAGTCACAGAGTATAACAATGCCACCCGATTCTGAAGACTGCATTTCTATAGTGCTGCTTTCCATGTCTTGAGTCCTAAGAGTACTTGACAGCTCCTTGGTACTACTGTACTGGTAGGTTGGTTGGGATTCCAGAAAAGGAGTCAATATCCTATATGACTTTGTGTCAATCAGAACAGAGTTTCTCAAACAATTGGTTAAGATACATTATCCTTTATGCAAATAGCATGAGTATGTCAAAACCAGATTCTTGCCGACTCTGAAATTTTCTCCGTAGACCACAGTTTGTAATTTCATAAATTCTTCCAACCTTACCTGTCTTCTTACATACTTTTCCTAAAATAATTTGAAAGCCGTTATTTAACTATTTTAAATTTACACAAGTAATCCTCAAGTTTTCATTGTGAAACATGCTAGAGGTAGAGCATAAGTCTTCCTTTACTATCCTCTCCACACCAACCCCGTCCTTAGCCATGTCAGCATGAGGTGTGTCCTACCAAACCACTTTTAATGTATGTATCCACATATACATACACACACTGAAATACATAGCTTTATTACTTATTGTTTCTTACTAAAGTTATTTTACATATGGTTCTGCAATTTGCTTTTTTCACTGAAACAATACATCCTACAGATACTTTTGTCAACATATGTAGATTCATTTTATTATTTAACATACAGTAAATAGCCCATGTTTTTGACATATTATGATCTGTTTACCTATTTTTCAGTTAATGGATGTTAAAGTATCATTTAATTGTTTCTGCTTCAAGCAATACAAAATGGGCATCTTTGTGCAAGTACATGAATGTGTACCTGGAAATAGTAAGATAATGGTCAGATAAAGAAGTATGATAAGTTAAAGTTTAGTAACACAAAATTGTCCACCAATTTGCATTTTTGTAAATATTAAAGGGCCCGTTTCCCCACACCTTCACAAACACTGGGATACAATCAGACTTCTTAATTTTTGCATTTCAGATGGAGAACAAATAGTTATCTCATAATAGCCAATATTTAGTGAGTTTGTCTCTACTTCGAATAATATTGTGGTCTGCCTTCTCAGAAAACCTATGAACATTTCGCTTTTGTGGATACTGTATATTCAGCCTCTGTTTCCCAATTCATCCTTCACAGTGATTTTTAAACATCCTCTGCTAATTACTTACCTGATCGCTGGAGTCACTTCAGGAGGAGAGATAAAAGTAAAGAGGCTAAGAAACATAAATTCATGATGTTATATTTATCTACTTTCTCCTGCTTGTACAAACAGTCCCCACATTTATTGAGATGAAGAATCTAGATTAGCTTTGTAATATATCTGAGTTTTTACCAGGTTGTTTAAACTCAGCTTTGGAACATAAGATAATTTACTTGCGTAGGGGATACAGTCCAGGATGTTCTTTGCATCATGCAGATTCCCTATTTTAGTGTCCAAAAGAGAGACAGAGTGGCTTATTTCAATCTTCTGATTCTCTGATCTTGGAAAGCAGCCTTTCTGTAACTTCTAAAATAGCTTGAGTTATCCATTTAAATGCCTAGAAGGTTCACCATTGAAAATTTTGCAAATGAGTCTTGAGATTAAGGGTATCTCACCACTCAAGACTGTTTTCTGCACAGCTCCTAAAATGTGTTATATACACAGCAAGTATTTGATGACAGTTCTTTGACTAGGGCCTAGTCACATGTTTCTCTCTGCATCTGATATATTCTAGTGAGTTCCACTCAAGTAGTAGATGAACATTTTGGAGTTTCATCTTCTATCACCTCCTTCCATTACTGTAGTAGAGTTTACTCTCCTATGCATACATCCCATTATTCAACTGCAAAGGAATAAATATGTAAACTCATATGTGTAGCAGAAAATTCTCATAAATTGTTAATTGAGGGTTCCTAGCTATAACTCAGATTTGTTCGAGAACTCAAATGGAATAAAACTATTACTCTGTTCTGCAATGTTCACTAGGTGCCACTAGGTGGAAGTACTTCAGCATTTTTCAGAACACTGAAACTGTCCAGAGCTAGAATCAACCACCTCATCACAATCAGGGAAGCATAAAACTTCATTGTTAGCTTTCTCTTTAAATTAATGTCTTATAAAGATGATAAAGCCAGTGCAATTAATGGGAGAGGCAAATATCAAAAAAAATTTTAATATTGTGAACAAATTAAAATCTAAGATTCCCACAACCTAGTCTGTGCATCTCTATCTGACACACTGTAGATCATCAATGAATATTTGTTCTACCCTTCTCTAAGTGCAGCCACCTCATTTGTTCTCTGGTACTGTTCCTACATTGAATAGACTTTTTTCTTCCTAATAACTCTAGCCTAGGTCCTCCAGAGTGTCACAGATTCTTGTCCTATTGAAGAATTCTATCATTTTTATCTTGTCATAAGTATTTTTAAGGTGATAATTTGTCTCACATGACTCATGTGTCCATCAGGGTAGAGAAACTCCTACACTCAAAGCACATATTTCTTTAATTAAACTTTCAACAGGCAAAGAAAGGTAAGTTAAGCATGCCAACTTACAGCATTAACAGAAAGATTTTTTTTCCTAGCTTTATTCCTTTGCCACATCAGCATTTTAAAAATGAAGGATTCCAGCTAAATCTAACAAGTTGTCCCATTGTGTATATCTCCTACTTATCCAGAGTCCTCACAAAATGATGGTAATAAAAATTTGTTAAAGGTATAAATACACAGCAACAAAAAAATTAATGAAGTGTTTTCAATGGGCTAGTGATGCCAGCAAATTTTTAGTAGACATATTAAGTAGAAGATAAAACCTGAAGGCTGGGCGCGGTGGCTCAAGCCTGTAATCCCAGCACTTTGGGAGGCCGAGGCGGGTGGATCACGAGGTCGAGAGATCGAGACCATCCTGGTCAACATGGTGAAACCCCGTCTCTACTAAAAATACAAAAAACTAGCTGGGCATGGTGGCACGTGCCTGTAATCCCAGCTACTAAGGAGGCTGAGGCAGGAGAATTGCCTGAGCCCAGGAGGCGGAGGTTGCGGTGAGCCGAGGTCGCGCCATTGCACTCCAGCCTGGGTAACAAAAGCGAAACTCCGTCTCAAAAAAAAAAAAAAAAAAAAAAAAAAACCTGGAAAGGGAAATGAATGGTGGGAACCCATGAGCCGTAAGACAGAAGTTAGCTGAAAGAAAAGCAGCTTTCCCTATAGAACCCTAGAGAGTGAGTTATGAAAGGCCAAATAATGATAAGGGGTGGGAGTCAAAGGCAGGCTGAAAACATATGCATTAATTTAAAGGATTAATTGAAAGCATATACAGCAGAACCTATGTTGTCTCCCATTCCTCTTGACACACATTGGCAGACAGAAGTTGAAAATTTTATTTTGCAAAAAGCATTGTTAAGTTCCCTGAGAAAAGATTCTTGCATTCTGTTTAGAAAGACTACAGCATGATCCCAGTCTCTACTCCTAGTTGCTCTAAAACAAAGTATACCAGGCGGCAAGCCTTGCTCACACACAAAACCCCATCAAGAGGCATTACATCCTTAAATAAGAAGCAGAAACCATGCTTTGTGAAATTTGGGGAAACTTTCCAAATAAAAGAGACAGACAAAAGTAAATAAAGAAAAAAATTACTATTAAAGACAGAGAGATCGCTCATGCCTATAACCTCAGTGCTTTGAGAGCCTGAGGCAGGAGGACTCTTGAGCCCAGGAGTTCTAGGCTGCAGTGTGCTATGGCCACATCACAGCACTCTAGCCTGGGTGACAGAGTGAGACCCCATCTCAAAAGAAAAATTACAAATAAAAATATTTTTAAAAATAAAAGAGATAATGCAGGGTAGAGATGAGAAAGATGTATGTACATGCCGAAAGGAGATATAACTAAAGTGAGCATGACCTAGACATTGAATAATTTTACCTAGTCACAGTGACACCATATTATTGATTTTCAACTTTTAGAATTAATCTATAAACCAAGTACAGGGAAACTGAAATGAGTTACTGAATACAGTGTAAATGCTATGAGCTCAAAAATGCAAAAATAAAAGTGCAGGGAATAGTTTACTGGTTCTACAACAAGTTAAAAACAGAATTGTCATTTGACCTAGAAATCTTAGATATATACCTGAAATAATTTAACAGTTGTTCAAACAAAACTTGTACAAAGTACTCACTGCAACAAAATTCACAATAGCTGAAAAGTGCAAACAATCTAAATGTCCATCAACATGTAAATGAACAAATAAAATGTAACATACTCATATGGCATATTACTAACTCAAAAAAAGGAATAAAGTTGTATACATGCTACAACATGCATAAACCTTGAAAACATTATACTAAGTCAAAGAAGCCAGGCACAAAAGTCTACATTTTATATGGTTCTACTTATGTTCCTATTCTGTTATTATGTTTTATCCTATTATATTCCTATTCTGTTTTTCTGTTCCATGAAACAAGAAACAAAAGTAGCAACATATTATTAAAACACAAAGGTAGAAGAATTAAAAATAATATACTATGATAAGTATGTTCTCTATTGAGAGAACTGTGGCAAAGTGGAGGGATGGAATTGAGACAGACAATGTCTCAAACTGATGTTAGAAACAGAAGCAAAGGTACACTGTTTAGAGAAATAGGAGTTACTTCCAGAAGCAGCAGCTGAAAACGTTAGAATTGGTTGCTTCTGGAACCTAGCACTTAAAACTATCATTATTGTTATGAAAAGGGACTGGAAAGGCCAGATCTACAAAAAAAGGGCACAGTAAAAAGGGACAGAAAACTCAGCAGGAATATTTAGGAGTGAATACTGAGAAGCTACTTTTCTCCAGTTTTTAACTATTTGCTTCTTTTTAGTGCTTGGGTATATTGTCTATAAAGGCAGGATATATCATACTAAAAGCTCTCAAAATCTTGTCTTAGTGGAGGGGTAAATGTGGTTGTCACACTTCTGAAGGGGCTGTGCAGGATCAGTGTGCTCCACAATCTATGCTGCTTTACTTCCTCCCTCAGCCTACCCTGGGTCAGGTCCCACTCCTGCAGCATGCCTTTTTAGTTGGTGACAGTAAGTGGAAATGCAGTCTAGGCAAGACCACACATAGTCTGCTAGAGACATACACCTAGATAGATCCTAACTGGCAAACAGAACAGAAGGAAACCACTAGGAGCTTCATTAACAAAAACATCTACGAAGAACTAAACTTCTAACAAGTTCCTGAGCAGGGATAATCAGAGAACATTTGAGGCAAAACCTGTAATGTAAGGTGACTGTAAGGCCAATCCCCTGTAAGTGGTGCTCAGCTTCAGTAAGTTAAGCTGTGAGAAGTACTCCTCTTCTCTCATGCCCAGCAGAGAGAGAAAACTTGCTCCTTTTTCTCATGCCTATACACAATGATGGTTTTTAAGATCTTGCCATTAAGTGGAAAAAAAAAAGAAAAAAAACTTGGAATACAAACCCAAAGAAAAGGACATCCAGGGAAAGAGGGCATTTTTCCCTAGGGCCTAGAGCCGAGGCACTACTACTGTCTGCTCCCAGATTCTCCTAAGCCACACAGCTGCTAAAAGGGGAAGGACCAGGCCACTCTTTGTATGGGTGGAAAAGAAGACAAGGAGAATATCCATGGAAGAAAGATTTATAAACTCTCTTTTCCTACTGAGACCATCACTCCCCACATCACAATTCAATTACAGCCTTGGCCCATGACCCAGATGACCCAAATCACTTCACACTTCTTCCTTAGGAATTTCTGTGTGTGTGAGAGAGAGAGAAACAGAGCAGGCAGGGAGTGGTGAGTTAAGCCATGTGAAGGGCAGGGAAAATGGGGCATGAAGAAGGTCAAAAGAAGCAGAAGCAGGCCTTGGGATCCCCCTGGAGTTTGCCATCAACAATTGCTCCAATCATCAAACTCTCTAGCTAAGAAAAGTAACCTTGTCTTGGAGGCAAGAACTATTTGCAAGCCATGCTGCCAGTTTACCAAGTCTACATATAGTCAGAGCCCTTCTTTGTCTAAAAAGACACACAAAATTGGTAAAAGGCACTCATACTTTCATAAAAACAAATGTCCTTCTACCTTTCCTCTTTTCTCTCTCTACTCCCTTCTCTATTTGGATTTGATCTAGCCAAGCAGGTCCATTAAGATGAAAATTAAATATTTCATCAGTCTAAGTGTTGAAGAAGTTGCAGAAGGAAATAAAGAAATGTTCTGGTAGTAGCTTTGACATCAAAAGCAAATGCTCTGCATTTTAAAAAAAGAATTTCCCTGAGAGCAGTCAGAACAACTTCCAGAGGAAAAGTCATAACCCTTAAGTGATTTGCAAAAACACCTAGTGCTTCATATGTAAAGAAGGAAGCACTAAAGGTTTCAGAAATACACATCCCACCTTACTTTTCCATATCTTGGGAATTGGCTACCTGCAAATGGCTACCCACTTCATCACACAGAAACTAACATTAGTTGAGTCACCATTATGTCCAAGTACTTTTCTAGAAATTTTTCTTCTTGTCATCACTGTTACCCCTTACTTTCCAAAATAACAGTTAAAAAGTGGAATTTATTATCATCTTTTCATAATGAGGAAATTGGAAGTCAGTAACAGAGCCAGGATTTGATTACAGATATTGTAAATTCTGAAGCTTATCTTAAAATCTTAGTCTGATTTATAACAGGATCAGATGCATGCAGACATTTCATGTTGGCTATGCATAGCAAATGCATGTTCTCCTTTGTTTCTCCATTAGACAAGTGTTGATGCTCCATGTTTGGGTGTCCTGGCAGCAGAGCTGTCTCTTTTGTGTTCCCATGATAATTCCTCAATTGCACAACAAGCATCATTGGGAATGTGTCATCTCTTTGACATTGCAAAATGTCAGCATGGTAAGAATGGTTCACCATATTTTCTCAGGATGACTAAGAATATGTTCCTCATTATTCGATTTATGGGTCCTGGGAAGGCTCTATGTTTGTAAATTTCTAAATCCTGCCCTAAGAGTCATAGCTCTACTTTCTAAAATGTATCTTTTAATGTTTTTAGCATTGTCAAGAAATTCTGGTAATAGCGTGGTTGGTTCTTCAAGATTTATAAAGCAACATGCTTACATTTCTTGGGTGTTAATGATGGGGAAAGGAATTGTGGGTGGAGTCAGGGAGGAAAAAGGAGGAGAGTTTACCAATGGGACTTTTAAAATGATATTTTTTTCCATTTAATTGAGCATCTGATAGACTACTTAGAAGATTATTTCTTCAATGGTGGAGAAAAATCAGCCAAGGATTAAAATAAATGCTGTTATGGTTTGTCTAACAAAGCATAAAAACAAGACCTGAAAGTATTAAGCTATCTCCAAGTAATTTAATTGTATTTTAGAATAAAGCCTAAAAATATTTGCATATTGCAGCACTGTTTATAATAGCAAAGAGTTAGAACCAACCCAAATGTCTATCAATGACAGACTGGATAAAGAAAATGTGGCACATATACACCATGGAATAACATGCAGCCATAAAGAGGATGAGTTCATGTCCTTTGTAGAGACATGGATGAACCTGGAAACCATCATTCTCAGCAAACTGACACAAGAACAGAAAATCAAACACCGCATGTTCCCACTCATAGGCGGGTGTTGAACAATGAGAACACAGGGACACAGGGAGGGATGTATCACACACTGGGGTCTGTTAGGGGGGCAAGGGAGGGACAGCGGGGCGATGGAGAGGTTGGGGAGTGATAACATGCAGAGAAATGCCAGATGTAGTTGACAGGGGGATGGAGGCAGCAAACCACCTTGCCATGTGTGTACCTATGCAGCAATCCTGCATGATCTGCACATGTACCCCAGAACCTAAAGTACAATAAAAAAAAATTTTAAAAAGAACATAAAGACTTAAAGGAGAAAATGTATAAATGTGTTTTAAAATTCTCCTCCTATGCACAAAGTTATAAAATAATACTTGAAAGTAAACTAAGCCACCACTAAGATAATATAGCAAAGAGTTATATATAACAAGCCAAAATTGAGATAAAATGGAATCATAGAAAACAATTCAAAATAAGGTAAAAAAAGAACAGAAAAAACAAACAAGAAAAATAGAAAACAAATAAGAAAAATTTTAAACCCAGTGATAATAAATGTAAATGTTCTAAATGCCCCAAGTGAAAAGGCAGAGATTGTCAGACTGAATAAAAAGCAAGCCTCAACTATATGCTGCCTCTAAGAAACTCACTTTAAGTATAAAACACAAATGGATTAAGTGTTAAAAGTTAGAAAATGATACAACATGTTCACAATGATAAAAAAGAAAACTGAAGTTGCTGTATTATATTATTGTAAAAAGATATGTTTTAGAGAAAAGGATTCTTCTTCCAGGGAAAAAGAAAGTCATCTCATAATGATAAAGGAATCAATTAATTAAGGAGATATAATTGTTTTTTAAATAGATTTAGGGGGTGCAAATGCTGCTTTGTTATATGAATATATTGAGTAGTAACCATCACCTAAAGAAAGCACATTTTACCAGTTAAGTACTTTCTCATCTCTCACTCCCTTTCACCTTCTCACTTTTATTAGTCTCTAACGTCTACTAATCTGCTCTGTATGCCCATGTGTACACACGATACAGCTCCCACTTATAAGTAAGAACTTGTGGTATTTGACTTTCTGTTTTGAGTTATTTCAGATAATGGCCTTTTTTTGCCTCAATGATCTAATACAGTCCGTGGGATGTTTAAGACTCCCATTATTATTGTGGGATATTTTGAAATCTCTCACTATTATTGTGTGAGAGTCTAAGTTTCTTTGAAGATCTCTAAGAACTTCCTGTATGAATCTAAGTGCTTCTGTGTTGGGTGCATATATATTTAGGGTGGTTAGGTCTTCTCATCAAATTGAATCCTTTACCATTTATGTAAATGCTCTTCTTTGTCTTTTTTGATCTTTCTTGGCTTAAAGTTTGTTTTGCCTGAAATTAGGATTGCAACCCCTGCTTTCTTCTGTTTTCCATTTGTTTGGTAGAGTTTTCTCTATCTCATTATTTTGAGCCTATGAGTGTCATTGCATGTGATATGGGTCTCTTGAACATAGCATATCACCGGGTCTTGGTTCTTTATTAAGCTTGTTACTCTGTGTGCTTTAATTTAAGCATTTAGCCCATTTACCTTCAAGGTTAATATTGACATTCATGGATTTAATCCTGTCATTATGATGTTAGCTGGCTAATTATGTAGACTTGTTTGTGTAATTGCTTTATAGTATTACTGATCTGCATAGTTCAGTGTGTTTTTGCTGTGGCTGGTACTGGTCTTTTCTTTCCATATTTAGTGCTCTTTTGAGGAGCTCTTATCAGGCAGATCAGTGGTAACAAATTCCTTTGGCATTTACTTGTCTAAAAAGGGTCTTATTTCTCTTTTGCTTAGGAAGCTTAGTTGGGCCAGATATAAAATTTTTGGTTGAAGTTTATTTTCTTTAAGAATGTTGAGGCCAAGCACAGAGGCTCACACCTGTAATCCCAGCACTTTGGGAGGCTGAGGTGGTTGGATCAATTGAGGCCAGGAGTTCAATCAAGCCTAGTCTGGCCAACATGGAGAAACCTCATCTTTACTAAATATATAAAAATTAGCCAGGCGTGATGATACATGCTTATAACCTGTCTACTCAGGAGGCCGAAGCAAAAAAAAATTGCTTAAACCCAGGAAGCAGAGGGTGAAGCAAGACAAGATCACACCACTGCACTTCAACCTAAGTGACAGAACAAGACTTGGCCTCAAAAAAAAAAAAAAAAGAATGTTGATTACAGGCCCCCAGGCTCTTCTGCCTTTTAGGGTTTCTGCATTAGTCTGATGGGCTTCCCTTTGTAGGTGATCACCCTTTCTTTCTGGGTGCCTTTAACATTTTTTTTCTTTCATTTTGACGTTGGAGAATCTGACAATTATGTGTCTTGGGGATGATCTTCTAGTGTAGACCTATGCAGGGGTTCTCTGTATTTCCTGAATTTGACTGTTGACCTCTCTAGCAAGGTTGGGGAAGTTTTCATGGACGATATCCTGAAATGTTTTCTAAGTTGTTTTCTTTATCTCCATCTATTGGAGGAATGGCAATGACACATAGATTTGGCCTCTTTACATAATCTTGTATTTCTCAATGGTTTTGTTCTTTCCTTTACATTTTGTTTCCTTTTTTTCACTCTATCTTAATTCAGAGAGCCAGTCTTCAAGTTTCAGTATTTTTTCCTTAGCTTGGTCTATTCTGCTGTTAATACTCACATTTGTATTGTGAAATCCTTGTAGTGTGTTTTTCAGCTCTATCAGGCCAGTTAGGTTTTTTATACTGGCTATTTCATATGTCAGCTCCTGTATCATTTTATTGTGATTCTTAGTTTCCCTGGATTGGGTTTTGCTATTCTCCTGAATCTCAATGATCTTCATTTCTATCCATATTCTGATTTCTATTTCTGTAATTTCAGTTAAATCAGCCTGGTTAAGAACCCTTGTTTGAGAACTACTACAGTCATCTTGAGGACATAAGCCACTCAAGCCATTTGAGTTACTGGTTCTTTCTCAGCTCTGCATGAAGATATTCCTTTAACTGTAGTGTAGATTGAGTATAGTCAGTAGACTTCTTTTCTGGATGTCTTCAAGGGCTGAGCCTTGTGCAGGGTCTGTATTTGAAACTGACTTCTCATCTTTGCTTTCATGAGTATGTTAGTGAGGTAATTTTGATGTTGAAGCCTTGGGGTGTGATCTGGTTGATGGCACTTAAGCATAGTGGTCAGTTGGTAGACTCTTGCTCAGTTGTGACACCCCTATATTTCCTTACAGTTGCAGCTGTGCTCCTTCTCAGTGCTCTGAAAGAGTGGGCTCCTCTCCCACTTGAGTGTTGGCTTTAGATTATGGCTTGGCACTTCTGGGATGCCCACCATAACGTTGGGGTGATCTCAAGGTTTATGTTCCCTTCTCAACTTGGAGACAGCAGAGAAAGGGACCTCAGCATTCCACAACTTTATATTTACTTGAGAGAAATGAAAGCAATTGTTCATACAAACACTTACTTATACATGAATGTTCATAACACCCTTATTTGTAATAGCCCCAAACCAGAAACAACCTGAATGTCCATTAATAGGCAAATAGATAAAGAGATTTGGGTATGTACATATAATAGAATAACATTCACTGGTAAAAAGGAACAAACTAATAATATGTACAACAACACGGATAAATCTCAATAGTTTTGCTGAGGGAAAGAAGCCAAACCAAAAAAAAAAAAAAGTGTATACAGTATGATTCACTTATATAAAATTAGAAAGTACCAACTTGAAAGAGAGCAGATGACAGGAAGTGGATCAGCAGTTGCCCTGGAGTCAGAGGATGGGTAAGGGGAGTAGGTGTGAGAGGTTACAGAAGGACATGAAGAAACTTTTGGAGGCAATAGATATGTTCATTTTTTTCCTGTGGTAATGTTTTATTGAGTATATAGATATACAAAAACTTAACGGGTTGTGCACTTTAGAAACGTTATATGGGTTGGGCACAGTGGTGCATACCTATAATTCAGGCACTTTGGGAGGCCTGGGCAGGCAGATCACTTGGAGACGAGCCTGGGCAACATAGTGTGACCCAATCTCTATGGAATATTTTAATTAGCTGGGCATTGTGACACGTGCCTGCAATCCCAGCTACTGGGGAGACTGAGGTGAAAAGATCACTTAAGCCAGCAGGTCAAGGCTGCAGTGAACCCTGTTTGCACCACTGCACTCCAGCCTGGGTGACAGAGTTAGATCCTATCTCAAAAAAGATAAAAAACAAAACAAAATAAATAAATGACAATTATATCTCTATAGAGCTATTTTTTAAAAAACAAAATCATTTAAAACTCACTTTCTCTGGAACTGAAGTTATCTGCACCTGAAGCTTTTGCTGAGCACTTCTGGCTTCCCTGATCTACTACTCCTCAGCATTTTTTCAAATGCCTCCAAGTCTACTCTCCCTGCCAGTAGACCCTCCAGCTTGGCATTAGCTTTTCCAGCATACTGAACTGTGCGTTTGATGCTCTATATGTATTTGTTATCTTGTCAGTGTATTTTAAAAGTATTTGTCCTTCATTCACATTTCACATGGACTCTCTTAAACACTTTATAAATCCTGGGTCGGTGCCGTAACATTTTGTGAGACTAAAGTATGAGCAGAGAGTTAAATAATCAGAAAACTTTAGCTCTCCAGAACTAGGCAGGAAAAGAAAATTGGAAATACTAATGCCATAGAAGAAACCATTGATCAAATAACAACCTTAAACTCTTTTGCTTAACACAGGGGATATTGGAGAAAGCAACTCTACAGACAGTAAAGGTAATAGCGTCCTGTTTTCTTCTAATGTAGAATTTCTTGCCAAGAAGTTTCGACATGACAAACATGAAATTGCTCAGGTAACTTAGCCCCCACTTTTTCCAGGGGCTTTGTTTATATGTATTATTATTCTTAGCAGCAATTTATTTCAACAAAGTTTATGTTGTTAGTATTTTTCCATTTCCTTTTAAACTCAGTGTGGTAAAATATAAATGATTATAGACCATTTCGTTTTCTGATTTTCATCTCTATTAATAATTATACCTAGTATTACCAAATATACTAATTTGCATTAATCCTTAGAGAAAGAAAACGAGGTATTTCCTAGTTACACTTCTTTTTCTTTGGCTAACAAATAGTTCACTATAAATGGAGAACTTCTGCTTAGTTAGAAAAATTAACAATTTACCAGTTAACAGACTTGCCAATACTATCATAATTTACTCTGCAAACATCATAATGACACTGTGATTTTGATTTTGTTTAGAAGAGCTATTAAATGAAAAATAAACATTTTAAAAGCCTATACGATAAACCTCAGTACCAAGTAAGTAGTTTTTAAACTGTTTCAACCATTGGGAGAACCGTGAGGCTCTACAGTTGTATATACTCCCTCACCTTCTTCAAACTACATAAGTTTAGCCATAAGCTCTAGAAGTTATACAGCACTGGGGCCAGGTTGGGCTGTCTAGCACCTTCCAGACACACACATTGAGCCAGTAGTTTAGCAAAACTTCTGGGGAAACCCTTTAGGCTAGCTCATCTCTTGGGATGGGAAGATCTAGGGTTTCCTCTTAAAACTACATGTATAAAGCAGTGTCTTCTTCCATGGCTGAGATTGGTAGAACTGTGGGAGGCTGAGGAGATGCAGAAGCAATACATCTAACATGATATAGTCAAAAATACTGCATAGATGTCTTAAATATGTAGAAGCCCAATGGTACCTCTTGCCAAGATCAAAAGTTATTCTTTCCCACCTACCCTCAAAAATCTCAAGCCTAGTTGACTACATTCATTTACATAAAGAAACCAAGCATCTGTTTGTTTACTAGCAAATCTTCCCTCATCCTTCCATCCTCCACCCCAGTATCCTGGAATTGAAATCCTGAGTACCATGACTGGACTAGTGAACCTAGAACCAGCAGTCTGCTGGGGCCTCTTCCAAGCTGTTCATGAGATTTATCACAACCTCTAGGTTGGCATCCTTGCTCATCTGAGTTTAATGTCCATAAGGTTTAAAAGTCCTCGGGCTTGGAGGAGGTGCCCTGGGTCCTTGTGTTCATGACCTGTTATTCATTTCCCATTTGGGAGACCAAATCAAGCCCAGCACTACATGCAGGAGCAGTAGCTAGAAAACCCAGAGGTGGGACTTCCAGAAGTAGTAACAGGTAAATTGAGAGGATACAAGGTTATAGCAAAAAGACCAAAAGGAACATTGCCAAAGATAAAGTTCAAAGCATGCAAACAGGAGTAGAAGCAGAAAGGTTGCTAGCCAAGGAAGCTGGAAGCAATGCACCATTTAACGGGAGGGTTGGACTGAAAAACAGTAACAACAACAAAAAAAATTGCCAAATGATAGCACTCTTTTTTTTTATAGAGTGGTCAGTTGTAACAGATGACACTGTCTTGCAAAGGATTCACAGAGAGCCACACAAGTGTCATTAACTAAAAAATATCAGAGAGAGATCCAAGATGGCTGATCACTAGCAGCTCAGGATTGTAGCTCCCAGTGAAAGCACAGAGAACGAGAGGATGCCACACTTTCAGATGAATTCTTGTTGCTCACGCACCAGGAGATTCCCAGCAGAGGAGCCCCACGGGTTGCCAGCACGACTCTTGTGAACAGCGAGGCAGTTTTGCCGGCGCCTTGGAGCATCGGTTCTTGGTGCAGAGTCAGAAAAGCCCCATCAATCTTAACGCCGCTGTTTTAGTCGGTGCAGTGGGTTGCTCAGATTTCGGCGCTGAGAATCAATAAGTTGGACATCCACTCAGAAACCCAATTACAAAGACGGTAATTATAAAGACCAAAGATGGATAAATCTACAATGAAGGGAAGAAAACAGCCAAAAAAGGCTGAGAATGTCCAAGATCAGAACACCTCTCCCTCAGCAGGGGATCACAGTTCCTCATCAGCAACAGAACAAGGCTTGATGGAGAATGAGTGTGTTCCAATTACAGAAGCAGGCTTCAAAAGGTGGATAATAAGAAACTTCCCTGTATTAAAAGAACTTGTTCTAACCCAATCCAAAGAAACTAAGAATTTTGAAAAAAGGTTTGACGAAATGTTAACAAGAATACACAATTTAGAGAGGAATATAAGTAAATTGATGGAGCTCAAAAACACAATACGAGAACTTCGTGAAGTATGCACAAGTTTTAACAGCCGAATTGATCAAGCAGAAGAAAGGCTATCAGAGGTCGAAGACCAACTTAATGAAATAAAATGAGAAGACAAGATTAGAGAAAAAAGGATAAAAAGGAACGAGCAAAGTATCCAAGAAATACAGGACTATGTGAAAAGACCTTATCTATGTTTGATAAGTGCACCTGAATGTGACGAAGAGAATGAATCCAAACTGGAAAATACACTTCAGGATATTATTCAGGAAAATTTTCCCAACCTAGCAAGGCAGGACAATATTCAACTCCAGGTAATACAGAGAACACCACAAAGATATTCTTCAAGAAGAGCAACCCCAAGGCACATAATCGTCAGATTCACCAGGGTTGAAATGAAGGAGAAAATACTAAGGGCAGCCAGAGAGAAAGGTCAGGTTACCCACAAAGGGAAACCTATCAGACTTACAGCAGATCTCTCAGCAGAAACCCTACAAGCCAGAAGAGAGTGAGGACCAATATTCAACATCCTTAAAGAAAAGAACTTTCAAACAAGAATTTTACATCCAGCCAAACTAAGCTTCATAAGTGAAGGAAAAATAAAGTTTTTGGTGAACAAGCAAGCACTCAGAGATTTCATCACCACCAGGCCTGCTTTACAAGAGCTTCTGAAAGAACCACTACACATAGAGAGGAACAAACAGTATCAGCCTTTCTGTAAAATACCAACAAGTAAAGAGCATCAATATAATGAAGAATTTACATCAACTAATGGGCAAAACAGCCAGCTAATATTAAATGGCAGTATTAAACTCACATATATCATTATTAATTCTAAATTTAAATTGACTAAATCCCCCAATCCAAAGACAGACAGGCAATTTGGATAAAAAACTAAAACCCATCGGTATGCTGCATCCAGACCCATCTCACATTCAAGGATACACAAAAACTCAAACAAAGTGATGGAGAAAGATTTATCAACCAAACGGAGAGCAAAAATAAATAAACAAAAAGCAGAAGTTACAATTTTTGCCTCTGATAAAATAGTCGTTAAAGCAACAAAGATCAAAAGAAGCAAAGAAGGACATTATATAATGATAAAAGGATCAGCGCAACAACAAGAAGAGCTAAAGATCCTAAATATATATGCACCCAATACAGGAATACCCAGACATACAAGACTTATAAAGAGACTTAGACTCCCACACAATAATAGTGGGAGACTTCAACATTAACATTAGACAGATCAATGAGACAGGAAATTAACAACGATATCCAGGACTTGAACTCAGATCTGGAACAAGTAAACTTAATTAACATTTATAGAAGTCTCCACTTTAAATACACAAAATATACACTCTTATCAGTACCACATCATATCAACTTAGAAGTTTAAATGAAATATTGGTTGGCTCCTTGTTTGTTATTCTCTTCCCTCATTTTCTTTCATGTCTCCATTATTAAGCACAATTATAGGCATACCCATATTTAGACTGCATTCTAGCCCGGGCAATAAAGCAATACCCCTATTCTCTCTCCCTCTTCCTCTTTCTTCCTCTTCTTTATTCTTTTTCTTCATTCTTTTTTTCTTTCTCTCTTTAAAAAAAATATATATCTATTTATATATGTTCATACCAAATAAACTAGTAGGGTAATATAACCACTTCAATATAATGAAGCTTTTGCTCCTTTTAAATTCTTACTCATGGAAATTGATAGAAAGAAATAACTCGAAATGATACCACTGTTTGTGAGAAGAGCTTCTTCACAGATTTATCAAAGCATATGCCAAACATAGAGGAATAAATGAAAATCTGTGGACTATTAATAGTGTATTATGCAAACATTCAAGTGAATGGTATCTAGAATATATAACAACATGGTATAGTGGTAAGAAGTAGGAAGAGATAAAAATGACCTCTAAAGAGTCCAACTGATCCTGTGTGATTGGTGTATTTCTGGAGAGTTATATGTAGATCATATTTTACAAAGCAAACTTATAATTTTATGTAACCTACCATAACATCTTCACCTGTACATGACAGAAACTTCTAACACTAGCTCTAAGTTTCACTGGGAATTGCTTCTTCTACAACTTTTTAGATAGATAGTAAAGTAAATTTTTTTGTTGAGTAAGCAAATACTCAAAAGAGAGTATTCTGCCTCCCAATATTTTTTAAAAATCCAGTGTGATGTAATTAAATCTGGCTTTCTTAAAGTAGGGCAAACTATGATATTCAGTCTACCTCACCAAGCCTTGGTTACCCTCCTCTAATTTTCTTCCATAGCTTTCCAAGATTCCCATCCATCACCTGTCTGCCCAGTGGGAAAGGAGCTAGTGATCAACATTTCTCACACAGACCTCAGTCCTGCCTTATGACCAAAAGAGCAATACTCTGTCCCTTTAAAGAGGGTGCAGAAAAACTTCTATTGATTAGATTGGGTATCCTCTGTACTTGGGAGAATGACTTTTTTTGCCGTACAAAGGCAAAAAAATAAAATTTGGCTCATTTATCTTTCTTTGAGAAATCTATAATCAATGTGATTTTGTTCCAATTTTACAATCTATGGATAGTCCTCTAACTTTAAAAAGGGATTGTTTGAATTGTAGTTCTTATACCTCAATCATGGACACAAAGGTCTTTTATTTCTTTCTGCTTCCTGATCCTTTTCTGTAAAAGAGGAACATGCATGCCTTTGAGTTCCCTCGGCTTTCTCACCCTGTTGCCTCCTGCATCGTCTGCTTTCTTCATACTTGTTTCTAATCCAACTCATTTTCAAAACTGAAGAAATTCATGATAATATTTGAACAGCTGAATTGCTTTAAAATCAGAAGAAAAAATAATTTCACTTGGATTGCAGTCATTTTTGTACCAACATTGTTGTAAAATACAATTTTTAATATTTTTCATAGAAGAAGGAGCCTCCAACAAGATGCATATGCCCCATGGAAGTCCTGGCTCCTGCCCCGACCAAGTCTGAGCTTAGCTGTCTTATGTTGGAATAAGGACTGAGGTCATGATTCTCCTTTTTGGTTGCAGACAGTAGGACAAACCTTACTGCCTTCCTTGCTGACTGACTTCGTGCGGAGTCTCCTGATGAAACTCTCTTCACCTGATGATAAAATTGCATCTAAGGCAGCATCCATACTGACACTGACTCTAACATTTCATTCTGAGAAGGTCACCATGGTAAGACACTTGACAATAAGCAGGAGAGCACAGGGTTTACTTTCTAATGTACCTTTTTGCTTTTGTTGTATATCCACTTCTTCCGATATGCACTTCTTGCCATTGTTCATTATATTACTTCAATAGAATAAGGCTTTTGGGTTTTTTTTTAAGTTTACTTGCTCTGTGGCTCAGACTGGAGTTCAGTGGTGAAACCTTGGCTCACTGAAGCCCCAAACTCCTGGGCTTAAGCAATCCTCCAACCTAAGCCTCCTAAGCAGCTGGGACCTACAGTTGTGTACCATCACACCCAGCTAATTAAAAAAAATTGTAGAGATGGAGGTCTTGCTATGTTGCCCAGGCTGGTGTCAAACTCCTGGGCTCAAGCAATCCTCCTACCCTGGCCTCCCAAAGCACTAGGGTTACAGGCATGAGTCACCACACCTGGACTGAGAATTGTTTGCATGAAATAGTCCAAGTATACAAACAATTTCAAAGAGTAAGTAATGAATGCTTGTCCACCTATCATATTAAATCATAATATCTTGCCATATTTGCTTTAGAATTTTTAAAGAAATACATTAATAGCAATAAAATAGTATAGCTGTAATTGAAATCCCCTGTGTATTCCTTAAGGAGAGATTTCGAAGACCCTCAGCTTGCCATAGAGCTGCCTATATAATTTGTGGGGTTCTGTGCAGAATGAAATCTGGGACTGCTTCTCACAACATGGGAAATGATGTTACTAAATGTATAAGCACATGCATTGTTTGCCTTTCCTCCACAGTCTCTCTCAATTCTTCACAGTGGTTTTATTTGCTACTTAATGTCTTTCTAAGCAAAAAGAACAATTAACAGTTTTTAGTCATGAGCACAGATTTTACTATCCATACATATATTGTGCAATGCCAGTTACAAATGTAAACATGGAATCATTTAGCTCATATGCAGAATCACCAAAATAATGCCATTTGTGTTTCAAGCTCACATATGCATACATATCACATTCTTTTCAAAAGGGCAGAAACACTACACAAAACTAGCTTAACTTTAAAATTTTCACTTGTTGTCATTTACATATCCTACCAACATTGTCTTCCTTCAGCTTATTGATGGGTAAGGAAAACCTGAAAGGAAAATAATTTATGGGCTACCCTCTCTCTTTCCTTCTATGTCATTTTCAGACTAAGTAGGGATTTTTTAAGTAGGTTAAAGTTTCAATAAGATGTTTTTCTTGTTTTTCCACTGAGTTTCACATTATGGGTCCCCTGGAATTCTGTGAACACTACATGTGTATGGGACCACAGGAACAATGGCAGACTCACATACTGTATCTCCTCTGCTCCACTGTCCCATGGGACTTGATTTGCAAAACACAATCACAAAGATAAAATTATTTAAAAGTTAAAGATGATAGTGGAAGAGCTTTAAACAAAGTAAGTGTATCTTCTCAGCATCGAGCGCTGTGCAAACATGTAGGTCACAGGCCCATGAAACCAGCACTGATGGTGACATAAGGAATGAAACTCCAGTTCCCTCTTCTGACACAGGAGTGCAAAGTAACTGAAAATAAACTGAGAAGTCTTACTTAAATTCATAGAGCAGGAAAGGGGAGGTGATGCTTTATACAGAACTCACAATGCTGCTGCAAATGGGAGCATTCTGTAGTGCAAACACAACCACAGGGAGAGGTGGAGGGCAACGGTCACCTTAAAAAATTGAGTTCTCCTCTAGTGAAGTGGGAAAGCGCACTCAAAGCAAGGTGAAATGAAACCTTAGCAAGTCCCTAGAGAGGAAGAGTGACAAAACAGAAAACTAGATGTGTAAAACTAGCCTCTGCTACAGTGAAATCACTAACTACAGAAAATTTGAACAAAATAGGCTCCTCAATTTATGACCCCATCCCTGCTCCCACAAGCAACTGGACTAATGAACACATTGGATTCTTGTCTTACACAGGGTTAGGTTCTAAAATGAGTTATAAGGCTAAAAATATCCCTAAAAATCCTCTAAATTGCATTTATAGTATATGGGCATATAATCTCTAAATAATCCTAACCATCAAATATTCATCAAAAATTGAAACAGACTATCATTAATATAACTGAACATAAATTGGCACAAATTTCTATAATTAAGCACCCAGTGACATAGGTGGTTTGCTTTAGAGGTATCTGTACTTAAACTAGGAAGAGGACAAGTGCAAGAAGCTCTAAATCCTATAGTTGAAAGGTCTATGGAAAAGCGTAGTTTAATGTCTCTCATTTCTGGCTCACCTTGGAGCCTACGTAGTTGGAAAAGCACCCTGCACTTCTTAACATTTTATTTATTTTTCTTTTGTTTGCCATAGAAAGTTGTACAGATAACTGAATTGTATGTGGTGTAACTGCAGGGCATTGTAAATTTGCATCAACTAATTTTTCAGCTTATAATCTCTGTTAGACTAAAATTTATGATCTAGAATCATAAAAAATATTTAAGAAGAAAAAAATGCAAAGGATTATTTTCAAAATAAGACAGATGATCTGGGTGGATTAAATCTGATATTGATACACAGCCACTGATTTAAGACAAACTTCAGATCCAGCTAGAACTCTCCTTGTGCTTTAATGAGTAAAAAGAGGGGGGAAAAATGAAATTAACATGGGGCCTATGAGTAGAGTTTGCAAGACTATAGCCTAGTGTTTACCATTCTGGGTCATTTCTCTGATACATGGTTCATCCCTTCAATATGTGGACTCAAATCATCTTTAACTTACAAAAGTTTTTTTGAAGTATACGCTGTGGTTTTATTGTTATTCTGTTCCATTGTTTTGATTTTCTTCTTTAAGTACTTGAAATATATGTATGTTTCCTATACTGAGCTTATATTTCTTATAGAATGAATTCAACACTCCCAGAATAAACTTTTAAGGAAATGGACATTTTCCTGCTATCCATAAATGAACAGAGTTTGTCTTCATCCAAATGAATATTTTGCATTGTGTAGTCACATATATAAATATGCTTTCTACTAGTGCTTATTTGTGTGCTAGTTTTTGCCTTGGTAATTGTGAAAAAGCAAATTCTTATGTCCAAGAAATGCCTTGGTTTAGAGGTGGCCATGGAAGAGGAGACTCTTGTTTACCTGTGGAATTTCTCTTACAGGTGTCTAAGATCGTGGATGCTATTTATAAGCAATTGTGTGAAAATTGTTTTCACAACATGAAGTGTGATATGTTGGGGGTTATCACTTTGTTGACACGTACTTCACCCAAGAAGGTCATCTTTCAACTTATGGACTACCCAGTTCCAGCAGATGAGTAAGGCCCCCCAATCCCCTGACTCTTCCAGGAGGGCTTGTTCACATGGACCTGGGCTCAACTCTCAATCTACCATAGTCAGGCCTGGTTTCTTTTTTCTGAAAGAGAAAATCTATTTTTGCATCATGTGGGATGATTGTAAGACTTAAATAAGATCATATGTAGTATGCATATCTTTGTATAATACCTAAAACACAGTAGGCCCACAAGAAATGATCAATGTCACTGTTATTTATCTGAGGCATTAAATTGTGTTCTGGTGCATGTCCCAGAGGAACAAAACTCTCCTCAAAGTGACAAAGGATTTTTATTCCCATTTGTGAATTTACTCATTTCTGTTGAGGAAATAAATTTGTACATGTAGTGTTTTCCTTGTTTTTGAAGGACAGATGTAAGATATTTCTACACATCAGTAACAAACATTATAATTGGGTGTCCTGTGTCCTTTGACTGCTAATCTGAAACTTATGATTCTGAATCACAAGAAAAGTTTAATTAGAAAAAGTGCAAATATGAGCCTATAGAACAATATGAACCTAACAGGTACATTAGAAGAGCTTAGAAAAATCACACCACTCCATTTCTACAGTTTGCATAAACACTAGAAATCAAGGTAGTACTTCTTAACTATGAACAGTATAAAAGGCAGGGAGTTTTATTATGAAGAGGACTAGGTCTTTGGAAATAAATGAATCTGTTTCCGTCAACCTTGATCCTTACATTCTGTGTGACGTTATGCAAGTTTGATAAAACTCCCTGATGTTAAATTTCCTCATCTAGAAAATGAGGAAAGTTCTTTCTAACTATAGATATGTGAATTAATTTCTGTGACAGATCATTGAGATCAACAAAAGTTTAAATAAATCACATAACTTTATTTTTCAGACTGAAAGACTGTATTTATTTAGGAAGCTTTAACTCACAAAGTATTTTACTATTTATAATAAATTCCTAGAAAGATCTTCATAAGACAATCTAACATCCAGGAACTAGGCACCCACTTTGTGTAAGGTATTACTGGCCCTCAAACATTTTGTTGAGGAGAGGGAATATATCCACATGCATATAAGCTAAAAGTTGCCAATAAATCTGGTACAAGAAATATGTGCTGGGGAAGTACAGAAAGCAGGCACAATTAATTAGGTGAACTTAATCAAAGCCGCCACCAGCAGGTCTAATTATAGGTAAGGGTTGAGGTAGAAAAGGCCAGGATTTGGAGTGAAACTAAACCAAAGGAACACATGAAAGATTTGCTCAGCCAAAATGTATGAACAAGAGATAAGACAAAGAGACACGGCATTTGAGAGCTGATGTCCATGTGATTAAAAGTGAGACTTGCAGGCAGGAGCAGGTGGGTAGTAGGTGCTACAGAGCTGGGTATGTCCATATTCCAAGGGATCAGGCACCCATATGATGAACTCAACAGAAAGGCTGAGCAATAGGTGTCAGAACCAAGAACTGGCAAGATATCAGAAATTTATCAGTGCAGAGGTGTAAAGCAGTTTTTAAGATGGGCAATAGTGGGGCTAATCTTGAAGAGTGTTGAGTACACAGGGAAAGGAGTTAGGGACTGGAGGTTGAGAAGCCAGGATTTTTAACAGCATCTGTGTCACTAATTGTGCGACATTTGACAAAATGACTCACTCTTCTGAGCTCAGTTTGTTTTTTTTTTATTTTTACCATTTATATGGTTTGTTTTTTAGCTGAGGTTAATTTTTTATTTTTATATTAATCTGCTTATTAATTTGTATTCCCATGCCAGTTTTTAAATATTATTCCTTGACCAACAAAGTCACAAAGCGAGAGGAGCAGAGGAAGTATTGAGTACAGAAAGCTGATCAGTTCTTGACAGTGAGTTAGACAGACATTTAAATAGCAGTAGAAATCAACTTGCAGACCAGACTCTAGTATTTTCCATAGGTCTTACTGAAATTCTGTTTTCCAGCATAGAAGGCTTGTGAGATCCTTTGGAAATGGGAATCTCAGTTTGTTTTGGACATGTCTGCAGCGTCTTTGCTATTTAAGGATGTAAAACCAAGACTCTTTTCCTGATTCTTGTTATTCTATCAAGTAGGACACGACAAACATGATTCTCATTGTATGGGGCGGGGCTGTGTTTGCAGCACTCTGATACAGATGTGGCAGGCGGCAGGTTCTGAGGCGACCCCGGCCCCTCGCGTACTGAAGACAATCTTACTGATACTGAAAGGAAAGCCTGGGGAAATGGAGGACAGCCTAACAGAAAAAAAACGTTTCTCTCTTGATGCTACCAACATGATGCCTTTGGCGGTAAATAACATGATGAGTGTTTCTTATTCTCAGTATTGTCTTCCCCATTGTAAAAATCCCTATCTGCCCACAGATTTAATCATACTTTCTTAACACAGTCCTCCTCTCATGCATCCATTCATGCAGCACATATTTATTGAGCGTCTATTATGTGCTGTGCCCTATCATGGAGCTTACATTTTGGTAAGAAACAGATAATTAACAAATAATCGTGCTGTAATTCAGATGGTATAAACCTTAAAAGACATATATAGTGGTGTGGCAGAAAGAAAGTGACTGGCAAAGTTTAGGTAAGTGGGTCAGGGCAGGCCTCTTTGCTGAGGTGGAATCTAATCAGAGACCTAAATCAGGTGAGAACATGAACCTTACATATGTCTGAGATAGAGAGTTCTAGACTGAGAGAAGGGAAAAGTCTCATACTGATGGACATTTACTTAGTATGTTAGAGAATACAAGGAGGCCAAACAATCAGAGAATTGGGCAACTGAGATGAAAGTATAAGAGATGATATGAAAGAAGCAGACAGTGGCTAGATCATATAGGCTTTTATAGCCAGGGAAAAGATCTAATCTCATTTGTGTCCATCATTTTATATCTCCTGAAATCAAAAATGTAAACTAAGGTCTTACAGAGACAGAGTAGTATAAAGTTGGCATTATTTCACAAATGTGATATGTTGGAATATGTATTTTTACAACGCCAATTACAATCCCTAAAGGCAAAATCCTGAACACTATAATCCTGAATATTGAAATTCTAAAAGATCAAAATTCTGAAAGTCTAAAATTTCTATCATCTGATTGAATCCCCAAACTGTAATGATAGATTTGGAATCAGGTACAATCAAGACTTCTAGAAGTGACTTTTAAGTTGTCACAAATAATGTTTGCTTTTTCCATTCGGTCCAAAGAATTTCTAGGAAAATTCAGATGAGTGGATTAGCCAGGCAATATGGCAATGATGAAAATTTTAGTTGTAAAATATACCATTTGTTTACATTGGCATTCCTTGCAGCTGATGAAATTCCAGGAGATTTTGATAAATTAAAGCCGTATTTGCCTTGAAGAAGCCAGACAAGTTACTGACTGGTCTAATTATGTGTACAGTAGGAGTATCAAAGCCGTATTTGCCTTGAGAAGCCAGACAAGTTACTTGATCTAATTATGTGTACAGTAGGAGAAGAAGACAATTATGGAATGCTGCCGCTGTTCAATCACCAGTATTGCTTCCTCCACATCTGTGGTCCTTCTATGAGTGCATGTGAAATAGATTTCTGCATGCCAAAACAACATAAAAGCATGGTACAGAAGATGGGAAAATGTAATAGGAAATGCTCAAGTTAGCATATGTCAAATCATAAAAGACTTTCAAAAAGAGTAGCATCACATATAAAATGAATGTAAACATATCCTCCAGGGAGAGCCATGCCCTAAAAGAAAAAGAAAAAATAACAGCCATTCATCACAATGAAGGACTTCAAAATATAATTAATGATCATAAAAGTTGACCAGGTCTAATGGACCGTCTCTATGCAATTGCCCATAATTTATCCCTATTGTTTTTTAAATGTTGAATTTTCTTTTTAGATTTTTTCTACTTTCTTTTTAATGTATTTCTCTCATTATTTTAAGTTGTCAGCATTATTGCTTCTAATTTGCTATACTACATATTTCATTTCCAATACCAGAGATATAAATTGTGTAAAAACTTTGAGGGTTCTAATTCTTTTTATGCATTTTTTTTTGCAAATTTGTCTCCATGAAGACGCATTGTCACAACATTAACTTTGTGTTTAAGCATTGCACTTGTATATAAAAATGTTGAAACTTCCTCAATAAATGAGATGTATTGTTGTATATTTGCTTTCTTCAAGAAAGATAAAATTTACTGAGATCTTGGCTCTTTGGCTGACAGCATATATGCTGGTGATCCATTGGTCTGTCTTGTCAAAAGACTTATATTGTCCACCAAGGGAATTCAGATGACCACAGTTATATAAGCTATTTCTTTATGAATATGGTTTGTCTGCTCATAACTGTTACCCATATGACTGTTGTTAATATACCTAAGTGTTTATGTTTGTAAAAATATGTATGTTATTATTGCCTAATTTATTGTATAAAATGACCTATGAAGTTTTCTGACATGTTTTCCCACTGGTTTGGCAGCCAGGGTGTTTGTATAGTGCCTTAAGATTCCCTTATCATGGTATGCTTGGCACAGTTCCTGGCTCACAATTGATGTGGCAGCTGTTAATGAATGAATGGGTACCCACATATGCTTTAGGTTTTCTTCAAGGAGGCTGTCACTCCATTGCTCCCCTCAGTAAGGTTGAATGGGTTTAGAGAAAAACTGTTTACATTTCTACCTTCTATTTCTTTCCCTTATAGGCATCCCAGGCCCTATGCACCTTTCTGCCTCTTGGTTCCTACAAGAAAGCGGTGGTCCAGTTTTTCCCCCAGCTCTTGATGGCCCTTATGTTCCAAGTCTCCTACAGCAGTGAGCTGAGCCTGATGCTCAAGGACAGGACTTTGTGAGATAATGCTGGTTATTTCAGATTATGTAAGAGATAAGCATTCAGCTTTCAATACTTCTACCCCGTTGGAGGTTCATATGGGATTCTTTACAGTCCCATGTGCAGTGTGTTCATTTATTACCGTTTTCTCTCCTCTGAGTGGTAGAATTCCTTCAGAAAAGGAACCAGCCCGAGTACCTAGAAGTTAGCTCACCTTCCATGAGCATGTGTAGCATATAAGAGCCATGACCACAGAATTCTGTTGATTCCTACCACACTCCCTATCAGATCAGTAAGAGATTACCACAGAAAAGAGAGCAGAGCATTGCATCCAAAACCAGATACATTTTTGCTCTGCTATCTACCTACTTTTTGCTGGAACCTCTTCAGAGTTATTCTACATGTAAGAAAAAAACAATGTGCTCACATGTACTTTGTGAACTGTAAAGTTAATTTGTGGTTGGAGGTGTAATATATAAGTTTATAACTACATGAAGTTGTCTGTCCACATAGAAGTTTGGTAATTCTCTTTTGTCCAAGAAAGTACCGTTGATTTTGCTACCCAACAGGGAAATCTCAACCCAAATGTCTACTATTTTCCCTTGTCTAGTGTGGATTTTAAGCCAGGCAGAGTTATAAAACACAATTAGTTCTATTAAGGTATATAATCTACTACCTATTCTCCAAGAAGACATACACCAAAGCATCCCCAACTAGATGAGAATATATCCTATTCATTTAAGACAACCATAGAAGAAAATGGACACCTTTAGCAAGTCATTGCATCATTGAACATCTCTTTCAAATTCATCTCTGGCAAATGAGCTACTAATAATAAACATTATAATTTATTATTATAATGTTTATATTATATTAATTATATAATATATGTATTATATATAATATATTATGTTTATTATAATAAACATAATTTATAATAATAAACATTAATTTATTAATAACAAACATAATAAACATTATTGCTAGATTTTATGTGCCACAATTTCAATTTATCCCCTATCCCATGTACTGTTAATCAGGGAAGATGAAGGACATTTAGCAATTTTTTTTTCCTTTGAGACATCCCCTTTCTCAAAACCTGTATTCTGTCCAATGTGGAATGAAAAAGGCAGGTAATGTGCACTTAGTTTTTTAAATATCATTGGCATGTGACGACCCTACTCTCTTTTGGGGCTTTAGATATGCCCAGGATGCCCTGAGAGTTCTGCTGAATTGTTCTGGACTACAACAAGTGGATATCATTCTAACGAAAAATAGTTTCTGGGACCATCTATCTGAAGAGCTGTATCACCGTTACAGAGTCTACCTTCTTGCAAAGTAAGAACTGGGGGCTCTGTAGGATTCTTGGTCTCTATCCCACCTTCTCCAACTTCCTTCAAGTAAGCTATGGAGGAACAAAATAGGCATCTACTCCAATTCTAAATCTCTCTTAATCATCTGAGTTGCTATTTGATTTCTACTTCAATTATTTTGAAGTGTTTTTATTTGAGAATTTTCTTTTTTCTTTTTTTTTTCTTTTTTTTCTTTTTCCCTCTTACTGATGATACAGATGCCCAATGATCCTCCCTCCACAGAACAGGTTTCTTTTTCTACAGATTAAAAAAAAAACTAGAGGTGAGTTTGTTTGTGTTTTTTTTTTCCTCTGATTTTAGCTGATTCCTGCTCTGCAGGCATCAGTTTCAGATGTATTCCCACTTGAAAGAGGTCCAATAAAAACCTACTCAGTGAGTCAAATAAACATGGCAAAGATTAATAGAAGAGGGTTTTTTTTCTAGTTAGCCCTTTAGTAAACAGCAAGTTTCTGATGGTAGGGATCAAATTCTCTGATCAAGAATAAAAATATAGGCTCTTGGCAACTTCAAGTTGTGCCTGACCCAGAAAGTACTCTCTATGTGGTCTCTATGAGGCCTTGGTGCTTTTACAAAAGCATCTCATTTGCAAATAGATTTTAGAAACACATACTGTGTTAAAGTGTAGTACATCTGCACCCTATAAGTTGTCACAAGTTGAGTGTCACTCTAAGAATATCTAAGAAGTAACTCTGGATCTTCTTACTCAAAGTGTGGTCCACAGACAAGCAGCAACAGCATCACCTGAGAGGGCTAAAAATTCAGAATCTCATGGCCCACCCCAGACCTTCTGAATCAGAATCCGTATCTTAGCAATATCCCCAGGGTCATTTGTTAGCACACTGCAGTTTGAGAAGCACTGGTTTGGAAGGCCAGCTGGGAATCTTAAAATGGAAACTTTTTCTGCCCTTACTGATCTGATCCAGGCCACTATATCAGGACAAGCATGAGGCTGGCCACCATCCAAGTGTGTTCTGGAGGACAGCATAGTGAATCAGAGCTCATCACCTCTTTTCCTGAGTAATCCAGGACAGTCCCAAACTCTAATCAGCATTATATCATTCAAAGAAAGAGCTTGGTCCAAAACCACAAAGATGACCTGCATCCAGCCATCTTGGACTGAGCACTAGATTTTTATTTCCTCTCCTTTTAGTCAAGAATTGATGGGAGCTTGTAATAAAATAGGGTATTCTGTTCTGTGGCAAAGGATGGGAGAGACAAGAAAGAGAAGCGACATTAAGGAAAGATGCTGAAAGGGATTCAATTATATATAATTCTGCAGAGTATGTGTGGAATTCACTGTGGGACTATAACTTATTTAGGGAATATTAAAGAATATCTTTCTTTTTATCTGGGAGGTACAAGATATTAGAATAATGATTCTCTCTTTACCACTATTAGCATAGTGCTTTCTCCTTTGCCAATTCAGTGCCTTATTCTCTTTTACAGAACTCTCAGTGACTGTAACTTTCCACAGTTTCCAGAGACACTGCATTATCTCTATAAGCTCTCAGTAGAAGGTCCTAGAAGGTCAGAAGACAGTCTTATGATAGTAATATTCCTCACTGAAGTGAGTTTTATAGACTGTGAATAGCTGTGTTCTCATTTCCTTTCCTTATCCAAATTTAAATCAAAATTCCAGTTTCTCATATGTCTCCCTCTGAATATTGGTTCTCACCAATACTTAAGGTCATGAACAATATCTGAAGTTGGGTGGGGAGAGGTGTGGAGTTAGATCTGGGTTATGGAAGCATTGTCCCTTCAGCTCTATCCAGCAGTTGGTTTTCATCTGTTTCTAGCGGTGTGGATTTGCACAAATACTAATTATTTTTTTAGTACCAGTTTATATATTTCTGTATGATTGTTAAAGTATATCAACGGATAATTGGGTTTAATAAGGATGGTAGATAACATCTGGGATCTAGGTGGTACTTCTGACCATCTATGGGAGAAAAGGAACTGGCTGGATAACTGAGTAAAATGGAGATGTGGAACCATATTATTTTGTGTATGAATATTGTGCCGTGTACTGTAATACTATAATGGAGTCAAGCAAATTGATGAACCTTTTGATTACAAAACATAAAGGCTTTATAACTTGAAATTATGAGAGTCAAATCTAATTTTTCATAAAAATAATAATACGCATGTGTTACATAGGTGTAGTGTCCAATATTTTCAAAATTTGAGATGATTTCAAACACCACAGTAAAAGTTAAATTATAAAAAGCATACTCTTATACCATACCATCTACTTCTAAAGCTTTCAAAAGTATACATAAATGAATTTAACCAAACATGGCAGTAGATAGTCATCAATGATTTCAAATGTGCTTAGTCCATTTTCACCTCTCATTAATTTTACTGTGTAACTCATTACTGAATTAATTATTCTTTGTTCAGTGTCTATTCATTGCTTTCTTAAAATCAATGTTTAGTTGACTGTATATAGGTGGGTTTCTTTTTTTTTCCCGTAAGTTATTGGGGTACAGGTGGTATTTGGTTACATGAGTAAGTTCTTTTGTGGTGATTTGTGACATTTTGGTGTACCCATCACCCGAGCAGCATACACTGCACAATATTTGTAGTCTTTTATCTTTTGGCTCTCTCCCACTCTTCCCCCCAATTCCCAAAGTCCATTGTATCATTCTTATGCCTTTGCATTCTCATAGCTTAGCTCCCACATACCAGTGAGAACATACAATGTTTGGTTTTCCATTCCTGAGTTACTTCACTTAGAATAATGGTTTCCAGTCTCATCTAGGTCACTAAATGCTGTTAGTTTATTCCTTTGTGTGACTGAGTAGTATTCCATCATACACACACACACACACACACACACACACACACACACACACACACACAACCGTTTCTTTATCCACTCATTAACTTATGGGCATTTGGGTTGGTCCACAGTTTTGCAATTGTGAATTGTGTTGCTATAAACATGTGTGTGGGTAAGTTTCTTTTCTGAATAACGTTTTCTTTTCCTCTTGGTAGATACCCAGTAGTCAGATTGCTGTATCAAATGGTAGTTCTACTTTTACTTCCTTAAGGAATCTCCACACTGTTTTCCATAGCAGCTGTACTAGCTCATATTTCTACTAGCAGTGTAGAATGTTCCCTGATCACCCCATCCACACCAACATCTACTGGTTTTTGACTGATTTTTTTTTTATTATGGCCATTCTTGCTGGAGTTAGGTGATATTGCATTGTAGTTTTGATTTTCATTTCCTTGATCATTAGTGATGGTCAGCATTTTTTCATGTTTGTTGACCATTGTGTACCTTCTTTTGGGAATTGTCTTTTCATATCCTTAGCCCACTTTTGGATGGGATTGTTTGTTTTTTTTCTTACTTGTTTGAGTTCTTTGTAGACTCTGGATATTAGTCTTTTGTCAGATGTATAGATCGTGAAGATTTTCTCCCACTCTGTGGGTTGTCTGTTTACTCTTGTCTGTTCCTTTTGCTGTGCAAAAGCTCTTTAGTTTAATTAGGTCCCAGCTATTTATTTTTGTTTTTGTTGCATTTGCTTTTGGGTTTTTGGTCATGAAATCCTTGCCTAAGCCGAGTCTAGAAGTTTTTTTTTTGCCAATGTTACATTTAGAATTTTTATAGTTTCAAGTCTTAGGTTTAAGTCCTGTATCCATCTTGAGGTTTGATATTTGTATACGGTGAGAGATGAAGATCCAGTTTCCTTTCATGTATGTGGCTAGCCAATTATCCTAGCACCATTTCTTGAAAATGGTGTCCTTTCCCCACTATATATTTTCGTTTGCTTTGTCAAACATCAGTTGGCTGTAAGTATTTGGGTTTATTTCCGGGTTCTCTATTCTGTTCCATTGGTCTATGTACCTATTTTTGTACCAGTACCATGCTGTTTTGGTGACCTTATAGTATAACTTAAAATCAGGTAGTGTGATGCCTCTGCATTTGTTCTTTTTGCTTAGTCTTGCTTTGGCTATGCAGGCTCTTTTCTTGTTCCATATGAATTTTAGAATTGTTTTTTTCTAACTCTGTGAAGAATGATGGTAGTATTTTGATGGGGATCGTGTTGAATTTGTAGATTGCTTTTGGCAGTATTGTCATTTTCACAATATTAATTCTACCCATCCACAAGCATGGGATGTGTTTACACTTGTTCGTATTGTCTATGATTTCAGCAGTGTTTTGTGGTTTTCCTTGTAGAGGTCTTTTGACTCCTTTGTTAGGTATATTCCTAAGTATTTTATATTTTTGGCAGCTATTATGAAAGAGGCTGAGTTCTTCATTTGATTCTCAGCTTGATTGCTATTGTTGTATAGAAAAAGCTATTGATTTATGTACATTAATCTTATATCTGGAAACTTTACTGAATTCTTTTATCAGCTCTAGGTGCTTTCTGAGTAGTGTTTTCAAGGTAAATGATCGTATCATCAGTAAACAGGGACATGTCTCCCTCTTTACCAATCTGCATGCCTTTTACTTATTTCTCTTGTCTCATTGCTCTGGCTAGGACTTCTAATACTATACTGAAGAGGAGTGGTGAGAGTGTATTGTTCCTTGTATTGTTCTGGTTCTCAGAGGGAATGCTTTCAGCTTTTCCCTGTTCAGTAATATATTGGCTGTGGGTTTCCATAGACGGCTTTTATTACATTAACCTATGCCCCTTTTATGCCGAATTTGCTCAGGGTTTTAATCATAAGGCAATGCTAGAATTTGTCAGATGCTTTTTCTGCATCTACTGAGATGATCATGCGATTTTTGTTTTTAGTTGATTCTGTGGTTTGTCACATTTATTAACTTACATATGTTGAACCATCCCTGCATATCTGGTATGAACCTACTTGATTATGGTGGATTATCTTTTTGATTTGTTGTTGGATTCATTTATCTAATATTTTGTTAAGGATTTTAGCATCTATATTCATTGAGGGTATCAGTCTGTAGTCTTCTTTTTTGGTTGTGTCTTTTCCTGGTTTGGATATTAGGGTGATGCTGGCTTCATAGAATGAATTAGGAAGGGTTCCTTCTTTCTCTATCTTTTGAAATAGTGTCAAAAAATTGGTGCTAATTCTTCTTTGAATATCTGGTAGAATTCTGCTGTGAATCTGGTCCAGGTCTTTTTTTGTTGGTAATTTTTTAAATTATTTCAATCTCGCTGCTTGTTATTGGTCTGTTCAGGGTATCTAATTCTTCCTGACCTAAACTAGGAGGGTTGTATTCTTCCAGGAAATTATCTGTCTTTTCTAGGTTTTCTAGTTTGCATGCATAAAGATGTTCATAGTAGCCTTGAAGGATCTTTTGTATTTCAGGGTTGTCAGTTGTAATATCTCCTGTTTCATTTCTCAGTGAGGTTATTTGTATTTTCTGCCTTCTTTTCTTGGTTAATCTTTCTAATGGTCTATCCATTTTATTTATCTTTTCAAATAACCAGCTTTTTATCTTTTGAATTTTTTTTGTTTCCATTTCATTTAGTTCTGCTGTGATCTTGGTTATTTTCTTACTTCTGCTGGTTTGGGTTTGCTTTGTTCTTGTTTCTCTAGTTCCTTGAAGTGTGCCTTAGTCTATTTGTGCTCTTCTCTTTCAGACTTCTTGAGGTAGGCATTTAAAGCTATGAACTTTTCTTTTAGCACCACTTTAGATGTATCTCAGAGGTTTTGATAGGTTGTGTCTGCATTATTATTCAGTTAAAAGAATTTTTTACATTTCCATGTTGATTTCATTTTTAACCCAATGCTCACTCAGGAGCAGCTTATTTAATTTCAATGTATTTGTGTCATCTTGAAGATTCCATCTTGATGAGTTGATTTCCAGTTTTATTCCACTGTGGTCTGAGAGAGTGCCTGATATAATTTGAATTTTCTTAAATGCATTGAGGCTCACTTTGTGGCCTATCATATGTTCTATCTTGAAAAAAGTTCCGGGAATGCTGGGAAGATGGCCGCCAAAGAACAGCTCAGGACTTCAGCTCCCAGTGAAAGTGCAGAGGGTGAGTAGACGCGGCATTTCCAGACGAACTCTTATTGCCCACAGACCAGGAGATACCCAGGCAGAGGGGTCGCCAGCGTCGCAGTCCCAGCCGGTGCCGCTGTTTTGGCCCCCGCGGGGCTGATTCCGCCCGCGCGGCTGCTGTGACCACTCCCTGTTGCTGCAGTTCTCCATACAAAAGCCAATGGTCTGGGAGCCCTCTTAGCTGGCGAGCAGAGCCCTGAGACAGCAGAGTTGCCCATTCATCTGAAATAGTGAGTCAGGCCAGGAGATTCCTAGGGAAAAAATCCGTCAGGAGCCGGCGCCGCAGTTCGAGCCGACTCCGTGAGTCGCAGCACAGGAGATCCCGGCGCCTTTTCAACAAACGACCAGAACGCGGGGTCGTTCAACTTAAAAGAAAAGACTCTGAGTCAGGGAGCCAGGTGATCAGGCTCGGTTGGTCCCACCCCTCCACCCCCAACAACAACGAAAACAAAAACAGTAATTGGAAACCCTCTGGGTTGAGCCCTTCAAACCAAGCACAGCTGAACCGGGACAGTCTGGCTCCGCGGGGGAGGGGCTTCCGCCATTACTGAGACTCTCCACCTCTACAGAGGCAGGCTGCCGTTGCCGAGGCAACTTGC